GGGCTCTAACCCATGATCCGTCTACCACTGAGGATATTTTACGTCAGCACTATGGCCGGTACAAGCCGGATGCGAAATTCGTATCGACCAGCCATCGCTGGGATTCGAAAAAAGGTTTTGCATTAGACATTCGCGTAGGGTTAACATTAGGCATTGTCATAAATTAAACTGTAGTCGATTTTCTGCCCCCCCCCCAAAAAAAAATATTTGAAATATAACAACAATAATGTTTGCCAGCATACAGTTCTATTTAATGAAAAACATTGTTCCTTGCACATTCTTTAAAAATTATTTTTTGTATGCATGTCAAGTAGGCTCGGGATCTACGTGAGTGGCAAATGAGATCTACGCCATCAAATTAGTATTACTGAAAATTAAAAGGAACTACGCGTTTATTTTGTTTTTAAATATGTTTCTGAAACGTATTTCCATAAAATTAAATATCCTAAAATAAAAGGTATAATAACAATGTACTAAAGAGTAAAATGAATCAAGAAAATTGCCTGATTGTGGTATATTTTGGCTATCACAAGTGGTCACCATGCCGATGGATATTAAGTGTAGTTAGTTTTTCTTCCGAATGAGTGTTTTGCTTCATTTAATAACGTAAAACCACCTGAAAAGTCAACAAATAATATGTAAAAGAAAATGTAAACTTATTTTGCTTTATACTTTTGTCGAAGTTAATTTCTCTTTTGTGAATGATTTCGTAGTGTTGATTGATGGGTGGATCTGGCTACTTTTTCAAAAATTAAAAGTTTTTAAACGAATGAAAAAAAACGACAATGTTAGTTGTGTGAGGCATTTCTCTAAATATGTTAGAAAATTAATTTCTAAACTGAAAAGTAGATTTTGGAAATAAAGCCGTGAATTTAGAGTAATTTTCAAAATTTTATGAAATATTTATGATAATTCCATCTTTAATAATTTCGTAATAAATTTGTATGCGGGGTGCATTTTGGACGAAACAAGTGGGGATCAGGTGGCGATAGGCAAAAAATTTTTTAATCGCTATTTGTTACGAACTGTTACCGGTTTTCTACTGTTAATTTTGGATTAATTTGGACTGTTAATCTTCCCGGAAATTTTTTATTTTATTTATTTATTTATTTTTTATTTTTTTGAATTTTAAGAAGGAACTGGTATTTAATTATTAGAATTAGAATTTAGTTTATTAGTAAAGAATGGGAATTAGTATTTCACATTTTTTGTCTAGTCGCAGCCAGTTAAATTTAAGTTACAAAAATACTTCAAGTGTATTCATTTTTGTTCACTACTAGTCCGTATCATGATTAGCAGACTTCCGTATATCCGGCAGGCATGACGATATTGACTGCATGAGAAAAAAATTATGCAAAAGAAAATATTTATCTGGTTGCAGTAACCGGAACAAATGTGACACGCTCAGTTGAAGAAAGATCTTCTCTTGACGCTTTTTCTGTGAGAATCGCTCGGATTTATGCGATCTTTCTGAAATTTTGCTATTCCATCATATTGTTGCGAAATAATTTGCATGGTAAAATATAGATTCTTTGCAAAACATATCATTAAATATATAGGGCACATTTCTATTTTTACGAAACTCATAATTTTTAATGTAAAAGTTGTACTCAAAAAATTGATTGTATCGTGCCAAAATATGCGCAACCTATTTTTTTATCATTTAAAAAGATAATTCCGTAAAACTAAGTTTCATAAAGCTGGTTAATATGAACCGATAATAATAAAAAAAACTTGCTGAATTATTCGGTTATAAATATACAACTGTTCTCAAAAGTGTTCGAAACGCTTTTCTTTCAGTGAAATACTGTTCTATTCATCAATTAAAATGGATATTTCAGATGGATATAAACGTTTGCTTTGTTTTTAAAATATTCCATACAGTTCTGTTAAGAATATATTAAAGATCTTATAAATGATATTCATTTTAATTAATGAATATAGCCCCATTTCATTGAAAGTTATAAATGTATATGAAAATTATACACTTTTGGGAGAACTTTTTGGGAGAAACTTTTTATTGGTGATGCAAAATTTGTGTTGGTTTAGTAAATTTGATGAACGGGATTTTGTTTATCAGGACTTAGAAGTAATTCAAACATTCCTCAAAAAATTTAACGTTCAATTCTTCACTAATTTTTTAAAATCTTTTAAGAAAGTGAAGCTGCTGACATTTCTTTATTTTATTTACTTTTTCATTAATAATTTCAATAGTTAAAAAAAAAGAACTCCACGCAAGTATTATTTTTACCGCAGAATTGTTCTGATTTATGTGATCTTTCCAGAATTTTGATATTGTATCCCATTATAGTGATTTCATTTATATGGTAAAATATAGCAAATTTTTTTCTTCTTCTTTTGACTTCATGTAGTTAAAAAAAGAGCTAAAGCTCTTTGTGTACAGAGATTTTTTTTTTCTTTTTAGCTAGCAATTGTTATTGAACAAATGGCTCAATATTGGCGAAAAATATATACTATTTATAATTTATAAAATAAATATGTTTAAAATAATTTCCAATTTGTTGCTGAAGAATAACTTGAAACAGTGGCTTGCCGTACTTTATTTCATTCATATACATATTTTATTCTTATTTATATTTTTTTTTAAAAAAAAGAAAGGCTGTTTAAGAGAAAATAATTCAATAAATGGTAGTTCGTTCGGAATAGTTTTTTTTTCTCGGTAATTTCTAATTTCCTTGAAATTTAGTAGTTTATTAGACATATTTAAGGAATAATTTTTTGAATTTTTTTTAAAAATTTATTATTGAATCCGTTTTTCTTTTCTTTTTTTTTGTGGCCCCTAACCATTTCAGTATTTAAATGGATTTAGTTATACTGATAATTTATGCTAAGCTTTCGTTGTATAAAAATTTTATCTTTTTCTTCAGTTTTTTGTTGTTTAACATTATGTACTTAAAAATTTGTACGATTTTTGTTTGTTACGAAAGTTGCTATGACTACTAACTTGCGCAATAATTTAATGCTTTTCTGGTTGAAAATTTAATATCTAGTCGAGATAATATCCTAACACGAAATATCAATATTTCTTAATTATTTGTGGTATTTTTTCAGTTTAATTGACATTAATTTCCTATTGCTTAATATTTTTGTTTAAAAATGAAATTTATAGCTATTTACGGTAATATTTTCTATATTATCTTTGTTGATAATTTTCGTTATATTTTTATGCTTGATATCTATCGTTTTCGGTAACGATCGCGATATCGCGAATACTTTCGTTATTATCGCATTAGATATTTATCGTTGTCGATAATGATCACGATATTATCATAAGCCATGATATCTTTATAATACTTATTAAAATATGGTTCTAACGATATTTCAAAATCAAAAAAGTATGATGTATCGCCTATCTCAATTGACTTGACTACTTCTTTCAATCGTATTCTATCCATTCGATTTCTATTGGGTCATTTTTTATGAAATGTCTTATTTCCTCAAATATAATAGTATTTGAATTTCAATATTTATAACATTCTAATAATTTAGTGTAAAGAGCGTTTCTCTTACAGTGAACTCCTCTCTAGAGAACATTCTGTGATGTTTAGGGGAAATTTTATCAACTTTCTTCTGTTTCTAGGCAACTTAAATGAGTTAAATAGAATATTTTATCTACCCCCTCATGTTAGCAATCAACTTGTTTAAGAAGTTTTCCTTAAGGCTGCTTTTCAAAGGGTAACGTCGTAATACGAAATGATGCTTTTTTTTGCGATTAATATCATATTTTTAGTACTGCTGTTAGTTTGCAACTTGTTACTCGTGACTGTTAGGGCAAGTTTAGCCTATCAAAAGCCAGCGCTGTCCGCGCTTATTTTAAAAATGGCTCAAAAAGTCAATATGGAGAAAAGCCACAGTTTTGTGAAAATGAAAAGTGTTTGTGGTCTAATTTTTTAATATTTTAAAACTTACTCCAATGCTGCATTACCTGAGCTCATAAAAATTTGCAGAAACTGAGAACAAGGCAGTGATTTTGTTAATTTTCATCTAGGAGGGAAAATTTTCGCCAAATTGCTAATTTTTAAAAAAGTAAAATAACTTTTAAAATATTTAAGTTATATGTATGTTCTGAAGCCCAGATAATTCTTCACGAAAAACTTGTATATCTATATATATATATAGTTTTAAAATCATCTCATTGCTTCAAGTGTAAGACACTTAAGCTATGTTTTTTTTTTTTTTTTTTTTTTTTTTTTTTNTTCTTTTTTTTTTTTTTTTTTTAATTTTCTTTGGCGACAGAGTTACAACAAACAGCATTAAATGTGTAGGAATTTTATTTTTAGTATTACTTTGGTTTTTATTTTATAAAAGTCTTNCAGTGATTTTGATAATTTTCATCTAGGACGGAAAATTGTCGCCAAATTGCTAATTTTTAAAAAAGTAAAATAACTTTTAAAATATTTAAGTTATATGTATGTTCTAAAGCTCAGATAATTCTTCACGAAAAACTTATATATATATAGTTTTAAAATCATCGCATTGCTTCAAGTGCAGGACACTTAAACTATGGCTTTTTTTTAATTTTCTTTGGCGACAGAGCTTCAACAAACAGCATTAAATGTGTAGAGCATTTTTGTTCTCAGCCAGATGTTACATGATAAAGGTTGCTGAAATAAAAGATATTAAGCTGGAAAATTCCTTATCTCTGTCTATTTGCTTAGCCTTCCTCTTACCAAATTTTGATTTAAAGCAAAAAATAATTATGAATTTTTTAAAAACATTTTTGATGTTTTTTCATCATAATTTGCTAGATATCTTTAGAATGGTTATTGTATGATTTGTTTTGATGCATGATTGAATTATTTATTCACAATAATTCTAGCTTTATATAATAAATTAAAATTGCATTTTGAAATCACACATACATACTATAGTGGGCAACATTTTAACTGTTTTGTTTTCAATTTAATTATTTATTTTATTACTATTCAGTTTCCATTGTTGCTACATAAAGGTAAAAGGAATTTTCTTTTTCTTCACAGAATCCATTCATTGGAGGAACAGCTAAGGGAGCTTGAAATCCGCAGTGAGGATCGATTAGAAACTGAGCAGCAAAAGTTCAAGGAGATTATGGTTTGTATTTTTTTTTTTTTTAAATTTATTTCATACTAATTTTTACATTTATGTGTATATTTACAGAAATTGCAATTTTTTAAGTTAATATTCTGTTTAGCTATTGTTCAAATTGGATTATTTATGACATTCAATGTTTACTTAGTTGATCATGTTAATTTGCTTTGCTTTATATTTTTTGCATGCATACGAATAGTTTGTTAATTAATTGCTGTCGAAAATTAAGCAATTAACTTTTTAAAATATTATAAAAAAATATTTTAGTAGGAAGCTTTTTATGTATGGTAATTACTTAGGTGCATTATTTAATGGTAGAAATTGTTTCAACTGCAAGATATATTGTTGAATAATTTTCTATTAATGTATTTTAAAAGTTTTAGCATTTAATAAATTCAGAAAGCAATTATTTTTGTAAATTATTAATAATTTTTTTTCTTCATTTTTTATGCTTTTTTGTTGTTTTTGTCAGCAAAACTGAACCAGTTTCAAAATCTTTTCTCTTTAAACTGCTTGCATAATATTTAAACATCCACCAAATACTATTAAAAAAAACTAGCATATATTACTTACTAAATTGTTAATTTTTTTAAAGTTGCAATTAATGTTATAGTTGAGTTTTTTGTTACTTATAAAATTATAAATGTATTTTTTTATTTAATTTGTCCTTTGTCCAGGTTATTTTGTGTTTTAATAGCATTGCAATGCCCACAATTACGAAGTTATAGATGTTTTTTTGTCTTTATTTACTGTGTAATAATCCATATAAATTATACACATCCTCTTTGTTATCGTCCTTTGTTATCGTTATGCCTAAGTAGTGCCTGTTTTACGCTTTTAGGTTCCTTTTATGTATATAATTTAAAATCAATTAGATGCTACTTTGATAACATGTCATTCTTTGTTAGGTTTATTTTTTTAATTTTATTAATCCTCTACAGAATAAATTATTTTACAATGGCTCTAACACTTAAGAGAATGCTTAAGTATGGGAGAAACCGTTCATGACAATTTCTCTTTCACCATTGGTATATTAAAATACACAAAAAATAAGTTCACATAAACCTAAAATAAGTTCACATAAACCTAGAGGAAACCATGAAGTTTCTAATGCTGAAGATGTTTTTATTTCAATGCATCAATCTGCAAGCAAATTATTGGAGAATTTTCCAATAACACAATCGTAAGTAATCCTCCGATTGTGCTATGGGAAAGTTCTCCAACAATTTGTTTGCATTTTTATATTTTGAAAGCATTTTTTCAGCATTTGAAACTCCATTGTTTACTCTAGGCTTACTGAAGTACTTTTCTTTAATATACATTTGTAAATGAAACAGAATTTTAGTGATGAAAAATTTCAGCTATAATGTATTGCCCTCTTAAGCAAAATTTAAACAATAAACAAATCAATAAAAGTGAAAAATCTGTAATGTAAATTTTATCAGTTTTATAAGCTCTTTTGGATTTCAAATAAAGCTATGATGCAAATAATGTAAAAAATGCATTCAATTTTTACTAAATATTTTTTGTAAGAGAGTTTTATATTCAAGCATTCAATTAAAGTTTTATCCTTTTTCTTCATTCTTGTATGACTATAATTGTGTTTTAATAAAGTTTTATTCCACTTTAGGCTCGATGTGAACGAGAAAGTAAATTAGAATTGGAACAGTATGCCACCAAGTAAGTTTGCTGACTGTAATTTATTGAGTTTGCTGATTCAAAATTGATTGTTATGTATGTTCTTCAAGTTATTATATTGATTTGAACTTCTTTATTTGAATTTCAAGTATAAAGTTTGTATTTTGTCATTAAAATTTCCCTGTGTTTCACGCTTTTGGAACATTTTTGTAAAAAGAAAGAAGATATTTTAGCCAAATTTAGATTCTTAGAAATAATGCTGTGTTAACATGCAAAATTTTTCAGAAAAATTCAAATAATAAAAAACGAAGTACTAGTTAATTAAATATTGTTGTAATCAAAATAAATTTTCTTTTTATGTTAAATAGGAGTTAGCTCAAACTTTTATTTTTTTGAAATTAAAATTCTAATGAAAATGAATTTTTATTATTGTTAAATCTCCTCTTTGGTCCTTCCTGTGTTATCATCTGAGATTCGAGTGTAAAGTTTTTTTTTTCTTTTTAAAAGAACTATTTGAAATTTTATGTAGATTAGAAATGTGTAATCGATAATACATCAAATTTCTTATCTGCTAGCCAGGTGGCAAAATGATCGCTAAGTTTTTAAAATAAAAAAACGAACAATAGTTGAAACTAAAATTGATTAATTATCGTGAACTTGCTAGTAACATCAGTTAAGAAAACTATTCTTTGATTAAGTTTGTAATTGGAAAAATCAACTTTAATTGAATCGCTATAAAATATTATACAATTTAAATAAAATAATAGTTCAACCAATTCCAATTAAAAAGTTGCTGCTGCAGCAGAGAAAAATTGTTGATGCGTTCATGGCATAGAGTTTCATCCATTTCCTATCTAACAGCAAGTACCTAATCCATACTGAAGTAACCTTTTGTTGTTGTTTCAATTTATGACTTAACTTTTTTTCTTCTCATAGTTGTTTTAAGGTGTTTGAACACTTTTTAATCTTTTTCATATTTATCAAAGGGTGTTTTTCAAAGTAAAATATTAATGCAAAAATTTGAATTATTAGTTTTAATAGAATTAGCGAGGGTTTTTGTTTTTAATTCGCATATTTAAATTGTATTACTTTTTTCTCTGGAAGGGATAAGGTGTAAATGAAAAAGTTAGGTAATTTAAGCGATGTTTAACCCTTTCTCGGTGGGAAGCGCATACACCCGCTTATCGCTGAGGCCGGCAGTCTTTCTTGCGAGTGTCTGTTCAGGGCCGGGTTTTTTTTTTTGACGGTAAACCTAAGTCCATGAAATCACCGAAATATCAACACGTTGTTTATTTTATTTTTGTATCCCTTAAGAAACGATAAATCCATATTTTGACCATATTTTTGTGTTGATTTTTTAATATAATTTTACATTTTTTCAAATTATGTCTAAATTTTCACAAAATAGGTACCTCTCAGAAAAACCTAGACAGACCCCTGATAATGTTCTGTAAAGTATTTAAGTGGCATATGCTTTATATATATTTCCATAGATACTTTATTAACTTAAGTTATTTCTTGTTTCAATATATATTTTACACATTTTATTTTCATTATGTACTTACCATTTAATAACTTTTAGCATTATATATCTGAAAACTAAATATATGACTTAAAATTATTTTTTCTTATGAAAAACTTGAAAACGCTAGCATTCCACTAAAAATTGGACTGCAAATCGATATACCCAACACTGTAGCGAAAAAAAACCTCTCCTGCTTACTGTAAACAAATACTACATGCGAATTTAAAGAGCTGTCATAAAGCATGCCATTCAGAAACATTCCTTTCTCCTCCATTCCTTCCCCCTAAAAACCACATGTATGTGAGTCATACTACTCTTATTTTGAGTAGAATGTTAAATCTACATGTATCTGAAACCATATAGACATACAACGCCATCTTCTGCAAAAATTTTATTTTTTAAAACATTCCAGAACACTGGCACTAATGGTTGATGGCCGGGGGTGAATGAGAAAACGGTCTTGCCCACCGGTGTGTCGGCCGGGAAGTGAGTGCGTTTCTTGGTGGCATGTACAGGTGACAGTCGGCGCGAAAGGGTTAATTGCTACTTCATTTTTTTTTCAAAATATATATTTTAAACATGGTTAGCACAAGTGTTTAATATTTTAAATTTATTGATACTAATTATATAAAAACAATTTGTTCTTAAAAAATTAATTGAATAGCAATTGAGTTCTTAAAAATCAATCTGAATATTTCTATATATGATATTGTTATTACTATTTTACATATTTCATAATTATATTTCAATTAAAGTTACTCCAATACAAATACAGAATCCTTAATTTTGAGAACTTAGATTATTTAATTAATCAAGCAATCATTAAAACAATTTTCATACAGCCACAAAATTTTAAACCAATGTAGCCAAGTGAAAAAATATGAGTGCTAGAAAGTTCTTTTATTTACATAAGTAACTTTATTTTATTTTATTAATTGTGATGAAATTTATTTTAAAATTCACTCTCACTTAAGAAGTTTTTCTTTTATTATTTGTATAAAATCCATAAATTGAGAAAAAGAGGAATGGACAGGATTTAAACAGTTGTCAATTTTTGGAGAATTCATTAGCAAAATAATTTATTTGCTCTTAATAAAGTATTTGATTTAATTGAAGGACTATCGGCCGAAACATCTTAATTAATATAAAAACTGAACTGATTAGTAAGGGAATGCTGAATAATTATTATCAGGCCATGTATATGTTCATTTGAGCAAATACTCAATTGGTCAAATATTTTTGTTTTTTGGCTGTTCAGAACTTTAATAGCTATTATCCTTAAATTGTATTTATTTTAGATATTATATTAATTTCATAGCTGAATGGAAAATTATTAGGCACTAAAGTTTGTTAACTATTTTCTTTTAGATTATTCCAGTTACAAAAGGAGTATATGGAAATGAGTGAAGAGTCTTTTCGTCTAAAAACCCAGATAGAAAGACTAAAACAAGTATGTAATCATGTTTACTATAAACCCTACATAAGGTTGAAGAGCCCTTGAAATGCTTATTTAAATTAAAATGCTCATTTAAATGTTGTTTAATGCTGAATTTTAATTTTATATTGAATTATGCTTATTTATTTAAGAGAACTTTCATCTTGAGGTTTTAAACTTTTAATATAAACCATAATTCTAACTCCAATGGGGTCGCAGGATCTGCAACTGCAGTCACCAAAAATTTTAGCAAATTTTTTATTTCTTCGACTTATTATAACAATTTTAAAATTACCAAATAAATAAAGAAAAATTTTAAGATTATTTAAAATTTTTACATTGTTCTGTGTCTTAAAATTAAGTTATTGATTAATTAAAATGAAGACTTAAACTGCAATAGTATATTATGCAGTACAAGTGAAGAAATGGGCAGTTTCACTCACGTGTTTGTCGGATTAACTCAATGCTTATGATGTTCTATATAATAATATGGTTTACCCACACCAAAAAGTGAGAAACATTGATGTTAAGCATAGTCAAAATTGTAATAGGTCTAACAGTGTCACAATTTCATTTTGGTGGATTTCATTCACTCTTATCCATTGTTTGTTGTCATCAAAGTCTCATAGTCCAGATTTTCTCTATTTATTTGTATGCTAAAATTATCACATTCTGTGATCATTATACTATTTAGCAGCAACAGTTATTTATTTATAGGAAAACCATCTTAGCTGCCAACAAAATATTGACTGTGTAATTAGAAAGAACCTGTTCTGTTCTTTCTTTGCATTATTGTTGGAATATTTCCGTAGCTAACTTCCACATTTACTAAATAAGTTTGCCAGATTGTTATGGGGAAAATGGCAAGTGATTGAACTTACAAGTTAGATTAAGATATTGAGTTACCTCATGTACATGCTGAAATGAAAAGTGCAGTGAAAGTGTTGAAACTGGGAAGTACAATACTTTATCACTATAAAAAAATTATGACCACACACAATTTATAAACGAGCAGTCATATATATAAACGAGCAGTCAGCTTATAAACAAATAGTCAACAACTGATGATTTTTTTTATAAATGTATAATTTTAAAGTTTTTAAACAAAATATGCAGCGTATAAGTATAAGGTTACTTTTGTTTTAATTTGTTTCAAACTTAGTATGTGTGGCTTTATTGGGTTAAAATTATCTAATTTTGTGATTCGTTTACTGTTATCTCATCGGTTATTGTTATTAAAATCTTTATGTGCCAGAATGATCACATTAAGCAGACTCTTCTGTATTTTATATGCAGAGTACCTAATATAGAAATAAGCTTAAATATAACTTTCTTTTCCTGAAATTTTTGTTGTTGTTTTTAACGATATAAAGGTATTAAAATAAATACATTCTTTATTTTAAAGTCTTGGTAATTGGTATATAGTGAAAGGAATTGCTAATTGTACATGTAAAATATTATTTGTGTTCATATGTTTTTGCTTTAAATTAAAAATTCCTTTTGATTGTCAGGAAAAGCAAGATCTGCAGAACCAACTCTACGAGTGTACAACAGAACTGTTGAATCTTCGAGATGAGCATCACAGGCTTCAAGAGTCTACTCGAAGGGAGAGAGAAGAATTCCAGACTGAGAGGGCCAACAGTAATAAGGTAAGATTTTCCTGTCTGTTCCATTAAATACTTATTTAAAATAATATGGGATATTTTACAATACATTTTATACATTGTTCAATTGAATGAAACAGTTCTCATTCAATTGCCTAATCTCATTCAAAAAATAAAATTGCCTAAAAGTACATTTCATTATATTTGTATTCATTTTCGGTTTTACTAAAGTAATGCATAATACTTTGTCTTTTTTTAGTCTTTCCTTCTTTATTTATTTGTTTCTATGAAACCCTAAATGATGAACTTTTTTTCAGCTAAACCTTGACTTTATAAATAAAGTATGAACACTATTTGAATATACTGACCAATAAAGACCACTTTTTTTAAAAAAAATATATGTATAACAAGAGGAGTGAAATATTTTCATCATTTTATTGTTAATAATTTTAAATTAGATTTTATGCTCAACATTTAAATTCACATAAATTTGTTTTTGGTATACATACATGAACCAGAAATAAATAAAATAAGCTGAATTATGATTTCCTTGAAATGAACACAGATAAAAATTGCCATAAATGTTGAAAATTATTATTTGTGGAGCATATTTCTTTATTAGCAAATTTTGTTGCCTATTTTGTTTTGAAAAGTCTAATCGCTAAGAAATACTTAACTCAAAATTTTTGTGAATGCATATCTTTTACATAATTTATTAAATGCATTATTAGAAAAATTATATATATATATATTTAAAAAAGTTAGTTTCTTTTTATTTGCATTTTACTTAAAATAATCTTGTAAAGGCTACTAAAATAAGTCAATAATGAAATATTAATTGGATCTAAATAAATTACAGGTTTCAAAAATATTTTTTAAAAACAAACTGTTATAAAAAAAAATCCTTACAGCAAACTGTTAAATCCTTACTCTTAACTTTAACTTAGGAACACCATTTTGACAATACTGATTATTGTAAATATTTTTTTTTCTTCTGTGAGCATTGTAAAAAGTTTGAAAAAGAAAAAAATATTATTTCAAGATGATCAAATAGTTTACTTTTTGGAATTTAGGGGTATTGTTATCATGCTATTGATAGTTCAATTCTTAGTTCAAGTTTTTAAATTGAATCCTATAACTGTTACATAACCTTCATCAGATTGCTCTTTGTAACTTACATCTTTTTCTCCATGTTATACAATTGAAAAAGCATAGTTTTGCATCAAAAATTTAATACAAATCTGCTTAAATAAATTTGTTATTGAAGTATATTAGAAATTTTTTAAAATTTGTTTAAAAATATTCTTGCCTTCAAAGATTATTTTGAAATTCAAACTAAGATTTTCTATGGTAGGAAGCTTTTATTTTCTTCCTCAACTTTTAAATTAAATTGCACTTCCTATCAGTTTCTCTTCTTAGAAAATGTTCTATTTCAGGCATGAGAAAAATAAAATTTCTATATAATTAGAATAATATCAAGAATAATAAGGAATTTTGTGGTTAAAGAAATTCAGTCGTTTTTCTGTGTCCCAGTAATTGTTGAAAATAAAATGGAATAAAAGAGAGAGAAAGATTCATTACTTGTTTGAAATTTCTTTATTTAAATAAACAGCACATTATTTATTTCTGTTGTATTAAAAATATTGCTAAAAATAAACCTGTATAAAAATGTATAACCTGTGTAACTATTGTAATATTATTAATTTATCAAATTATAGATGATGAATCATTTTATCATTTAATTATTTTTTCCTAAAAAAATTAAATAAAAAAAAGTTATCATTGTACAACTTAATCGAATTTTTATAAGTACATATCTATTTTTATGTTGAATATTGTTTCTATAAGCATAGCATCCCAATTCACTCACAATGCCAAGGAAAACACACACTCTCAAATTCTTTTTTTTTTATCATATTTTTAAAAATATTTTAAAAGTCCAAACTATATTTTATGAAGCAATTTCGTCATAGTAATTTATGATTTCCTTTAATCAAAGTTAAAAATATTTATATAGTTTATTGTTTATAAGTAAAAAATTATAGACAGGAGTCAATGAAACTTTGCAAATGAAAATGAGCTTTTGCTTGTTAAACTAAATGTATTTGTCAACAACATTTTGTGATATCCATATTAGTTTCCATTTTATTTCTTAGCAGAAGTCAGCAATGGTGAATTTCTAGGGTTCTTGTAAAGTTCAAATGAAGATGCTACATATGAATAAAATAGTATGCATATAAAGCACAAATAATAGCACAAAAATGGACAGATTATAGTTTATATCTATAAAAAATTTTCTATCTTCCATATAGAAACGCAAAATTTTTCTTCTTTTTGCAACATCGAGAAAGGCTCTTGCTTATGAAAACAAAACTATTTTAAGTCCATTTCTGGGTTTTATTCACTCTGATAAGCTTTATTTAGCATATAATGTTTTAATTATTTGTGATTTTTGAAACTGCATTTGTCTTAACATTATGGTTATGGTTTTTTTTAGTTGTTGGATGAATTGTCTAAAGAACTGGAAAAACATTCAGAATCTGCAGGAGAAACTCGTTTGCGAAGCCCCAGTCTCTTAGAACTACCTGCTCAGTACCGAGAACTCCAGCAGGAGCTTAAAAAAATCAAAGACGTATGTAGGAATTCACCATCTTATTCTCATTACTTTAAATCTCTCTGGTTTATTAGATTAGAATGAAATGAGACATTTTCTTTGGATTTATGCTGTGGAGCCTCTGTAATTCCTGTAGGTGTAATTCCTACAGGTAATTCTTAAAGGTCCTGTGTAATTCCTACAGGTTCTGTGTGACCATTCGTGGTGCTTTAATGTTCAGTGAGCAGTAATTGCATTTAGTGCGAGCTTATTGTATTATAGTGGTAAAATTGTATTTTTCCCTACCACATTTTACATCACGTTATTCTTATATATCTATCGTGTTGTATATAGATTTCTTATAAATTAATGATAAAAATGAAGATAAATGCAATTTAAAAAAATTTTAATGATATCAAAGATCTGGAAAAATTGCAATTTGTTACACAAATTCGATGAGATCAGTCAGATAAGTAAAATAAAAATAATTGTGTATATTTCTTTAGCGATGTATCATGCCCTTTATTTATTATTGAGGGGACAAGTTTGTCATGGAAGAAAAAGCTGATATTTACAGAAGATTGATGAGAAATTTTTAAAAATGTCACCAAAGCACAAAGACAAAAAAAGAATGTACAATATGTGCATTGAAAGACTTGTACATGAAACAATTAGTGAAATAAAAGCATATAATTGAGCTAAAAAAGCATTGCATTTAAATTTTTTGCATTATTATTTTGTTCAAATGAACAGAATTTTGATACAAAATATTTAATTTTAATATTGACGTCAATGTTTGATCGTTCATTAAATATTTATAAGCCTAAAGTCAACTTTATTTTCAACTCAAGTTAAGAATAAGTAATTGAAACTGGAGGAGTTAAGGCAAAATAATCTAGATGATTAGAATTCAACTGAATTTATATTATTTCAATTTTCATTATTTATATTACTGTTATGTATTCATTAGATGATAAAATATTGAAAATGATAAATTGTGTATTAAAATTAAATTTTATCTTTAATTGACTCAATTAATTGTTTTTCATTTTATTTTATAACCGTCATTGACAGACGATCCAATTTTGGTTTTACGACTACTAACGTTCAACTCCTTAGTCTTATAATTTTGAACCCAATACAGAATACAAGGAAACTCCTGGATCAAGTATGAGAGACATTTGCCTTTGTGGAGTTTTTTTTGTTGATGGAACTAAGCCGCATTTGCATGGAAAACCTCTCACAGTTAGCCTCATGGCAGTAGGACTCTATCCGTCTACTAGTGAGGATATTTTATGCCAGCACTGTGATTGGTGCGAGGTGGGTGCAGAATTCGTATCGACTAGCCATTGCTGGGATTCGTACCCGGTACACCTCATTGGAAGGCGAATGTTATTTCCCCCTAGCCCCCATGGCTGTCGCTTAATTTTTTAAGATAAAATACTTAAAAATTGAGTTACATGTACTCAGTTATTTTTTAATAAAATCTATCAGGTGTACAGAGATTTATTTACAAAACTGCTTCACTAAATATAATTTTCTATTTAAATAAGTATTGCTAATACATAATGAANTTTAAATGTGGCACTTCTGCTACTGAGCCGCATTTGCATTACATGGAGAGGAAAACCTCCCACAGTTAGCCTCATGGCTGGAAGACTCTAGCCCATGATCCGTCTACTAGTGAGGATATTTTACATCAGCACTGTCATCGGTGCAAGGTGGATGCAGAATTCGTATCGACCAGCCATTGCTGGGATTCGTACCCGGTACACCTTATTGGAAGGCGATTGTTATTTCCCCATAGCCACCATGGCTGTCCCTTAATTTTTTAAGATAAAATACTTAAAAATTGAGTTACATGTACTCAGTTATTTTTTAATAAAATCTATCAGGTGTACAGAGATTTATTTACAAAACTGCTTCACTAAATATAATTTTCTATTTAAATAAGTATTGCTAATACATAATGAAGCGAGTCTTATTTATAGTAATCAGTTTGAAGGTTTTCTCTTTTTTTGTTCTAAAATGTTCAGTTTATTTTTATTCAGAACAACTTTTTTAAATTTATAAAAAAAATTTTAACCATCAAAAATAAACTACTAGTAAGTTGTGTACTATAAGCTTCTAATTTATTTTAAAAGATAATAATTATTAATATTATTTTTCTTATTTATTAGGAAAACAAGTTAATATTAGAAACAAATGAAGAATTAAATGCTCAGCTGTTAGCAAATAGTTTGCAAGAAGGTCGAACACTAGTAAGCCAAAACTCAGCAATTTCTTTAGCAGACGAATTTGAAACCTTAACCAAAGATGATGTAAGTATTTTGATTTTATGATGTTCATTTTAACTTTAGTTATACTGTCAAAGTATAGATATTGTAAAAACTGATCTTTAATCTATATTCGAATAAATCTACAATTGGAATCTGAAGAATTGGAAGCTCTTCTGAAGTTAAGGCTATATCTGTACTTGACAGTTAAAATGTTTAAAAGAATGAGAAAAGTTTTTTTTTCTTTAAAAAATCATGTATGGTGTAATAATTTTTTTAATCCTACTTATCCATTTTTTTCTTTACGATTTTATCATAAATTTTAAGGGAGATTTCTTTGGGGATTTCAAAAATAAATGACATTTTTGTTTATGCTTTAAGAATGTTTTTCTTTAAAAATATGTAGAAGTGTTGGGAAATGGTCATAGTTTTTGGATTTTTTTTTTCTTCATGTAAATTTAATATTTAAAGCCATTTTTGAAGTTGAACAAGAAAGGTTTTGCTTGAGTAAAATACACTTGTTGGTAATATTATATATTTGTGGAAAAATTCCCTCCTTCTCAATATTGTTACCCATGCAACAACGATAGGTAAAAGATGCTGTATTGGGTAGAAAAGAAGCCAGGTTCTGTTCTAAACAGTGTTATCACTTAAAAAATTAATTCAAAAAGTTAATTTTGTAGATAATTTATTTTTTATTTTTTGTATGCATTTTTTAAAAGTATTTAACAAATTTGTTAAAATATTTTTATGTTTTTATTTATTTACTTTATTTTTTTTCAAAAAGCATTAATATATTTCAAACTTTGTAATTAAATCATAATAATACTCTAGAGAAATTGTATTCTGAGACATAGCGCAATGGTTTTTTAGAATAATAAATGTTTATGTAATGTAAAACATCTACATGAAAGATTAATAATATCTTCTATTGAATTCTTTATATCCAAATTATTTAAGCTATTTGTGTGTAAAAATAACACCTGAGTTCTCAAAATTTTCTGAAATTGAATTATTGACTTCATCTTTAAAAATTAATTATTACAAGAAAAAATAACTAATTTTGAAAAGAAAAAGAAAGATGAGTTCAAAAATTTGGTATTGTGAAACTATAGGAACTACTTCTTTTAGGATATCTCTGATTTTTTGAGTATGGTGACTGACTGTTTTACACTCAAAATAGTTTCAACATCATTAATACTTCTTTACTTATGAGAAAATAAAATTCTTTTATAAGGTAAGTTGTTAGGAAGAAAAGCTCATCATTCACAACAAAGAGTATTTACATGTATTTTTGGATAGAGTGTTTGAGATGTCCTTTATATTTAAACAAAATAACTTGATAAAAACCTGAATGTATCTGAAAGAACTTTTATTGTTTCCATTCTCTTGTTTGTAAATAAGGTATGGATTTGTAGAACAAAAATTACAAACATATTTATAGCAATCAGTTTAAGATGTTGATAAATGTAAACTTTCTTCTCAAAAAAATTTCTGAAAAAACACTTTGGAATTAAAGTATTTTTTATTGGATGCTATAAAAAATTATTCTTGTCTAAACATTCTGTCAGGACACAGCTGAGCGGTTTAGGTCTAAACTAGCAGAATTATTAATGAATTGAGAGTGTGATTTACCGCAATTGGAAAAATGTAAAACAAATTAAAAAACATATTTCTTTATTTAGCTGCATTTAATATACATCTATAACAAATTTCAACCTCTTCAAATAAAAGCAAAGTCCCGTTGTGTTCTAAAATAAATTATGAATTAAATTTGCGTTTCTGATATTGGCATTGCATATCTCATTATTTCGTAATTTTTCTTGTTTTTGTCTGCCTCTTCAAATTTTAATGTTCAAAGTCCTGATATATTGTGTATTTATTATTAACAAATGAAAAAGGGGAACATAAATCAGACGACAAATCGTTTTATGCATGAGTAAATAATTTAGGAATAAAGTCTATGTGAAAAATGAGATTTATTTTATTTATTTACTATTTTTTTTTAAACTTTGTGTAGCATGCAAGTATGTAGCTTAATTATATTAATACTACAGCACTGTTACAGTTTTTTAAATGAAACCTACAAATTACATGTTGACGTCATTTAATGATAATTTTTATTAAAAGAAAAGTTAAATGTTTGAATCATATGATATTCGAAAAAAAATCCCATTGAATTATGTTCATTATTTCTGAAGTATCTAATTCACAAATTAAATGTAGAGTTAGCCTTAACAGCAGAAAATAAAATGATTTGTCCACTTAGCAGGTGATTTTTAGGTTTAATAATACTTTTTATTATACGGTCGAAGATCTTTGTGAGAAAAATCTTAAAATGTGAGGGTTTGATTTGTATAGAATTTTGTTTTATATAGATCATTTCGCCTATCATTAAATTTACCTTCAATAGCATTCCGTATCTATAAACAATAGCATTATGTATCTATAAAAGATATGTATTAGTGCTTTAAAGTAATTTTTTAAATACAAATAGTTTAAAATGCAAAAATATGCACTTAACTATCTTATTATTTACGGAAAAAAATATTTAAATTATCAAGAACATTAGAACGAAAAACCGACAAATTTATCAATTTTAAGTTTGCTTTAGTAAAGTTAATATTTGAAAACTAGTTAATGGAAAATTGCTGTTTATAGAATTATATAGGTCTTCTATTGCATTATTTTTATATTTGTATTAGATTTGTGCCCTAAAAGCATATGCTTTATTTTCCAGATGATGAAGGCATTACATGAACAAAAAGAAGTAAATGCAAAACTGAAAGCCTACATTGATGGTATTCTTATGAACATCATAGAAAACCATCCACAGCTCTTAGAGGTGAAAAATCCATTGTAAAACAGTCAATATTATTTAGAACATGTTAGACTAAGAAGAAATTAGAATGAACTTTGTGATATATGGAACCAATTATATTTTTGAATCTAATGACATGTGAGTGAAAAATTTTAACGCTAAGATCTTTCAATAAGGAAAATTATAGATTTTAAAAATGAAACTTTGTTTTTGACGTTATCTCAATGCATTGCACCCGTCCTAAAATCGAATGAATTAATTGTTGCGAAAGTCTGTTTTAATATGTTAACGGGAATGCCTGTCCTAAAGTGCAGTTCCTTGTGTATAGAATATTTAATAAATTTTAAAAAAAAGTTCTGTTATCTTCCTTTTGTGTGTGTGTGTTTTTTTTCTTCTTTTTTTCATATTGGTTATTTAGAACATATGTGTTTAAAAATTTAGTAGTTATATTATATCTTAGATTTGTTTTTCCATAGAAAGCCATAGAGCTAGTTTTTTTTAATTGAACCAGTTAAATAGAATCAATTTAAAAGTCGCTTATGCTGTTTGCAACTTTAGCAATTATGTCAGCTTTAATAAAATGTTTCAATTTTTAAAAATAAGTTAGTTTAAATATTAATGTGAAACCACCTTTTTTCATTTTTAAAAGTTAAATGAATGAAATAATTTCAATTAGAAATTCTCCTAAAAAATTGTTTATTTAAGCAAAATTACGTTTGAAATAAATTAAACACAAGTTAACATGAAAAATGAAGTTAAAATTGGATTGCAAGTTCTGTATGCACATACATAATTGAGTCTTATTTTTCATAAAAGAAAACATGCTTAATTTTGAGGGAAAATACCACAAAACTAGCACTTATTGCACCACATTTACTAGAGTTGTTTCAGAGGACAGTTTTCTCTCCTTTTCAAATGAAGAGTAATGTCTTTGGGTCGCAGAAAACCTTGCCCCTGATTGTACTCCAAAGGTACCTGAAAATATTCAATCAAAACAATCATATATCAAAACAATCACAGATTAATAATGATGATTCAATTATGCTTTTCAAGTCTGCAGCACACACACATGAAGCTTAGAATAAGGAAAGGTACATCAATTACAAATATGTTAAGGCGCCTAGATTGTTCCTTGACTCCCTGTCCTGCAGTGGACTGATCATAAAGACACAGTTCCAAGTAGAACACTGAAGTCAAGCATCACTGGCTGCGGGTGGGTAACCACTTTGATCAGCCTGCTTAGGGAACGAGGATGTGCGGTATCGGTCCCCTTTAAACTTGGACACCAAAGCAGGGCAGCCATCCCCTCTGCAGAGGATCAAAATTAGCGATGGCATGCTTTCGGATCATCCTCGGGGATGTTTCCCACACTGTCGGTCTCTAATATCCGCACAGATCAACTGCGAAGTAAATTAAGTACCTACCTTGACTCCCCATGTTTTCTATACAATGAAATAAGGATAATTTGATAATTATGAACCAGGGTGCGTAGCATTTTTAAAAAGTGCTTAAAGGTGCTTATTTTCGTTTTTTAAAAGCCCTTAAAGCTGCTTTTTCCATTTGGTGTTTTTAAAAAGTGCTTAATTTTCCCTTTTTTTTTTCAAAATGAGATATATCCTTTACTATGTTGATTTTCGCTTCGAATTATGCAAAAAGACACAGTTCACATTGTTCTATTCGGCGTTTTCACAACTAATTCAACCCCAATCTATTTCGGCGTATTGCAAGTCCGCAGCGTATGAAAACTATATTCGTTTTATTTACACGATTCAAAATTCATGATTTTTGAAAATTGTCAAAAACAATGCTAAAAAAGTTTTTTTTTTCTGACATGACGGTTAAAACAAGATAAAACCGTTCATTGTCAAAAACTTTCCTACCCTGCCTAATTACGATATTTTTTTCAATTCCTTAAAAATATTTTGAGTGCTTGAAAAGTGCTTATTTTTTGTTGAATAATTTGGCTACTCACCCTTTGAACCCATATACCACAAAATCATCCAGTGGATGACAAGTTAATTAAACTTAAACTCATAGAACAAAAAGCGAACTTATTGATAGACACTGCGATGAAAATCTGAGACAATCTTAATGCTAGTGAAGCAACATTGATCGGAAGCATATTGATCGTCGGCATCTTTTAGAACAGAAAACTTAAAAAATTTGCTAGTTCTGAGGAAGAATATTCTGTATTTGATGAGAATGCTTTGTCAAGTAATATCTTATCCTAAAATCAGTCCAGTTTTTAATAGAGATATCAGAAACTGGGGACAATTTCAAAAAAATAGATAAAGATCGCAATTCAGATAAATCATGATGAATTTTCGTATCTATCACAAGCCACGGTGAAAGGAAGTATTGCTTCAGAGTTGATTAAAAGTTTTCCTCTAATTGGAGATAAAAGCTATAAGCCAACTTTAAAGTAAATTTTGGAAGACTAATGATTCAAGTTTCTGGGAGAGATCTACTTTCGCTTGTCCTTCAAAAAGATATAGATTGCAATAGAAGAGGTCTCTATGGTTATTTGAGACTAAATTACCCGAGTTAGAAACCTTAGGCGTAACCAGAGATAAGTGTGCATCCATGTTGCTTTCCATGATAAGGAGAAAAAAGAATCTGTGAAAATTCATGGCAATAATGTGTATTTTTTATAACGAAATTTTTAATGTTGTATCCAGTGTTATTGTGACTAATATTTAAAGATTTAATCAGGAATTTTTGTAGGTATTTGATTTAGTTTATGCATTTATTCAATAAATCAAATAGTCAAGGGAGAGAACAGTTGCTAATGTAAACAAATGCCACGTTTCAACAGCCAATCAGGAGACACCTACACTATCTCACTTGCAGGTACCCCATTGTCTAAATTTCGGAACACCAGCACAAACGGTTCTGGTGTTATAAGAAAAACACACGCAGACAAACTCTTCTTTTGATAATTATAAGTAAATTTTGTTTTTAAACAAGAATTTTATTATTTTAGATAACTATTTTTAATTAATAAAATAAATCTAATACCTTTCGTAAATATTACTCATACATTCCAATCTTTTTTTTTTTCTGTCAGTCAAAACAAGTTAACTCCTACCCTGTATATGCTAAAGTACTTTTTGAAATGATCTCAAATTTATTAAAAATTAAAAAAATGCGGATTACCTTTGTTTCGGGACATGTTTCTACGTGAAAAATACTGATGACGTAAGCTAAACAGATTTTCATTTCCAAGAGTGCAAAACGCATTCCAACACAGTTTCTGGGTCCAGCACCAAAAGGTAAATAAGAATAAGGAACTATTTTATCTCTTTCTTCTGAACTGAATCTAAAAATCAAATGAGTTGAATTAAACATTGGAAAATAATACAAAAATCTATTAACTACATAAATGGTTATTTTCTTTGTGAATGTTATCTGATTTAAAAATTACAAATTATTTAAACTTATATTGTTAATTGAATTAGGAAATTTTTTAATTACCTTTTTAGTTTCTTAAACTCATTAAAAATTAATAAATTTTATTTAATAACAAATCTGTATTGCGTTACAGGCAGTAAAATTAATTATTAAAAGATCAGAAAATTGCAATCGTGATTTGAACACAAATTATACCATCATATTAGAAAGCTTAATTGCAAACTTCTTAAAAAAGCCAAAAAATAGTGAATATTGCAGGATTTAAAGAAATGTTTACATTGGTCAACCTGAAAGAAGACAACAACCTCAGGTCAATGGCTGCTTATTTTTGCTGCGATGCATCTCTGTCTAGAATACAAAATATTTAATTTTCTTTTCACTCCAATTTGCATTTCAATTAAAAGAAAACACCACCTTAAAGTTAAAACTTAAAGATGGATGGGAAAACGGCCGGAGATAGCCTCAGGTGCCCAGATAAATTTTGATGATGACCACAAATTAAAATTTTGATTATATCTGCTATCATAATTACTAATATCTATCACGAGTCGTGATGGCTCAGGGGATGAGGTGAACCGGGTTCGAATCCCGGCGATGGACGATCGGTACGAATCCGCACCCGGCTTCCACCGACCACAGTGCTGACGTGAAAAATCCTCAGTGGTAGATGGATCATGGGTTAGAGTCCCCTTGCCATCCAGCTAACCGTGGATGGTCCTCGTGGTCTCCCTCTCCGTGTAACGCAAACGCGGATTAGTTCCACCAAAATGTCGTCCACGAAGGCAAATTTCTCCCAATACTTGATTTAGGAGTTCCCCTGTTTTCTGAATTGGGTTCAAAATTTCAAGGCTGCGGAGTTGAACATTGGTAGTCGTAAACCCAAAAATTGGGTCGACTGTTCAACGAAGGCTATGAAATAAAATAAAATATTTATCACAACAATAAACGAGTACAGGTAGTCATGATTAATCATAATGCTAATTACTTAATTCTAATAATGATTACCAGTTATAAATATTGGTAATCCACACTGTTGCGATACCAATCAATCATTATCACGTGTAACAAGATCATGGCTACTTCTAATCACGATTAGTTTATTAAGTAATTATTATCTGTATTTAATTAAAGTTGAAAACAACTCAAACTTCTATTGAAATCGCAGCGAGTATAAATAAAAAAAAAAAACTGTATAAAATTTTAAATATATAATTGTTACCTATCTGGATTGAAGCTTTCCGGATCAGGAAAAAGTTTTGGATCCCTGTGTATTGCGTAGATCGGTACACTGACTAAAGTTCCTTTGGGAATAATAATTCCTGTGTCTGTTAGGGTAAAATCAGCTTCGGCTGTTCTATCTAACCTGTTGCAAAAAAAAGCACATAATAAAACTTCCAGTGTCTGTTAGGTTAAATCAGCTTCAGCTGTTCTATCTATACTGTTGTAAGCAACCACATAATAAAATTTCCAGTTCAGTGGGCAAAATAAAGAAAACAGAACACTTTAAAAATTTTGTGATCTAGTGATCGGATGGTGACGCAACAATATCCAATTTTAATGGTTCTAGGGACTAACTTAAAATATGTAATCTTTCTTGTCCAAATGATATTTTAAGTTACGAAATGAATCGCAAAAACGTATTGTTTGTCTGCAGTAAGAACTCCCCTAGACATTCGTCTGGACCCGTGGCTGTGACTATTGTAACGAGGTATAGCTATTTCAAGTAGGGGTGTGGGGTCACTGTTTAGAACAGGGTTTTGTATCAGGTGGGCGAGAGAAAGGAAATCATTTTCTTCGCGTTGTCCTAGAGCAGTGTTTCCCAAAGTTATGACTTTTATGTACCCTTTCTAAATTTTTCGTAACGTTGTGTACCACTAATCAAAAAATGAATGTAGTTTTAGTTAAAAATCACAACTGGCTGTTAACACAGCTAATTATTAACTGTTAGTTCTGCAAAAAATAGCCCATAGAAAAATACGTAATTGTTCATTTTTATGGCTATCTTTGTTTCTAAACAAAATTTTTGAAATTTTCGTTTGTTGCAAGATATTTCGCATAAGAACGCGTACCCCCGCTAAACGGTTCCCGTACCCCTGGGTTACGCGTACCACACTTTGGGAAACACTGTCCTAGAGTAAAAAGAAGCTACCCTCTCTGAAATGCGCTATTCTTGTTTCCATAGCAGCAGACGGCCTCAGACTTTGTGGCGGGAGGAGTTCTTAACATAGACAAACTATACTTTCTCTGAATAAATTTCTCTCTTTCTCTCTTTTTTTCAACGGATATCAATTTTTAACACAAAATAGAGGATATTCCCCCAATAGTTTTAGCAGGAGTGGTCGTGGGTAAGGGTATCTTATTGTTCATTAACTTTTTGTGTATTTCGTCATAGCTCTGGAAGTATTGTATAAATTATGTGAATAGAACTGTAAAAGTTGTTTAGCCACGTTTAATTATATATTAAAAACTCTTTTATTTTTCTCTTTTGAACTCTTTAATTTCAACTGAAAGAAAAAATCATAATTTGAACAGAATTGGTTAAAAAATTATTTAAATTTTAAAGTATAACTTTTTGGTATTTCATTACTCAGGAACTATTCGATTCTGCTCAAATTTTGTCATTTGCTGCAGATTATGCGGTTTAAAAGGAAGTTAAAGTTTATTCAAATTCAAAGGTACATTTCTTGTTTTGTCAGTGGCGCCATCTATGGCCAAGAATACGATTTCAGCCACACAGACGTCAATTCACGCTCTACTATGAGAAGGATTAATACGTTCTATGTAATAAATTCTGCAGAATTGAAAGTCTTGTGGTCGGTCGCTGAAGAGTACCGTGGGTACAGGGATCTGGAGAAAATTTCATTCCTCTTCAGATCTGTCTAAATCGTGAGGAAGTTACCTCACAGATTGTGAAGGCATGTCTTCGGATCATCATTAAGGGTGTTTCCCAGACCGCCGCATATAACCCATTGCACTGGTCCAGGGCGACGTAAATAAAGTAGAATTAAGGCAATCAAATTGGCTTTGATGTTTTTCATACAGCTTTTCTCAGAAGTGATTCGATGTATTTCAATAGTGTTATTGTCATTTCTTTGATTTAAATTACCATATAGGGGTCATAACTTAGTAAGTAAAATTACAAACTTATAACCCCCCAAAATCAGATTTTTCATTAATTTTTTACATGAATTCTAAAAAGTAAGTATTAAAGGAGGTGATTGCGAAACTCCCTGCTTTATCTTACTTCATTTCTGACAAGTATATTTTAAATTTATAGTAAAATTTCCTTTACCGACACTCGATACTACAACACTTTGGTTATTTGAGGATCGTTTCGATGCCCGTTGCAAGCATTCCCCCCCCCCCACGTTTTATTGTTCTTATAAATGATTTTTCTCAACTACTGTTGTGGTGACAAATTCGAAATTTTTCTGATGCAAAAAAGACAGCGAAATAGAAAAAAAAATTGCAACGATATTTTTTTCTTAAATAACATCATTAATTATGATAGAAATTATAAAAAAGAAGTCCCGCTGTGGACTGATCGTTAAAACACGGTTCCCAGTGAGTAGAACGCCGAAGTCAGTCATCACTGGCTGCAGTCAAGCAACACTATGCCGATGGGTGACCACTAAGATTAGTCTACGAAGGGGCCGAGGGTGTGAGTTATTTGTCCTCGGTAAGCTGTTCTACTGTAAAGTGCTCGACTTCGCGTGCAGATCATCAGGCTACAGAAGCGGGGGGGGGGGGGCNGGGGGGGGGGGCTTTGCAGACCGTCGCCAATAGCCCATTGTGCAGCTCTACTGCGACGTAAATGAACTACAACTATATAAAAATAAAATATAAGTATTTTAAATTTTATTATAACTACTATTTATATGAGTAATTTCATTCATAATTTATGCACTAAAACCTCGATTTGAAATAGTCCCTTGATTATTCGATTTTCCGACATACCCCTGAGTGTCAGTAAATAGAGGTTCTTATTATATTTAATCAGTTCTTACCTGATGAAGGGAGGGTGTAATCGAAGGGATTCAGAAATGACGTTGTCCAAATACTTCATCTTTTGAATCGATTCATACGATATTTCACCCTGAAAAAGAATTAAGACATTTTATTTTGATGTTTTCTCCAAGGAAAATATACTCACAAAAACTCTGGCCGCCATAGTTTAGATGCTTTACACTTGAAGCAATACGATGAATTTAGACTATATTTATGTATCATCTTGTTGTACCTGAGCTTTAGAACTGACAAATAACTTAACTTAAAAGTTATTAAACTTTTTTAAAGTTCACCAATTTGACGACATTTTTCCACCTAGATGAAACTTATTAAACTCACTGCCTTATTTTAATTTTTTGAAAATTTTTAAGAGCCCAGATAATGCAGCATTGGAGTAAGTTTTTAAAATATTAAAAAAATTAGACCAAAAACGCTTTTTATTTTCACAAAACTGTGGCTTTTCCCCAAATTGACATTTTGCGCCCTTATCAAAATAAGCGTTGACAGCTCCGGCGGCTTTAGACAGGCTAAACTTGTCCTAACAGTCATGAATGACAGTTGCATATTCACAACAGTTATAAAAATAGCGTATTATTCTCAAAAAAAGCATCATTTCATATGACGACGGAGCCTTCGAAAAACAGTCTTAATAAATAAAAACTACTAGTAAGCTGCACCCCCTGCTCGCTAACGCTCGCGAACCCCGAAAATTGCTACGCAATCTCATATGGTTTTGCTTTGCAAACCAAGCTCGTTTCTCTCGCTACTAACTTAGATACATTGCAAATGCACAAAATTCTAAGAATTCAAAACAATCATTCAAATCCCTATAACAACTTTTTGTATTATAATTTGTATTCAAGTAAATGACATGTAATTCGTTAAACCTATTAGAAATGCGCTATAATATAAAATCTTAAAGCGTAACAGCACGACTTAGACTCATTTTTCACTGAGTAACTAATAACAATACTAAAACAAATAAATTCGTGATATAAATCGAAAATCGACAAATAAATTCGTAACATATAAATTCGTGAAAAAAAGCGCTTTTGACAAAATACTAAAGTAGAGATCTATCGACAAAGACTACTCACTTCTGCCTAGCTTAATAATATGAGATTGCTGCAGCTGCTATTAATTTTTTTTCTTTAAAAGCGCTATATGTTGAGCCACCTCAGCTAGATTTGTCATGTGACATTTTTAGCGGCAATCATTGGTCGATTTTCTAGCGTTGCCATTCGGGGAGTTGTATAATTGGCTTTTTTTGTCGCCGTGTAAGAGAAATATATATATAGATATTATACTCGCACCTGCATTTTAATTTATCCTAAAATATCTCTTCGCTCAAAGCTTCGTATCGCTTAACCGATTTTTGCACTATCCAAGCGGTAGGCCAATTCTATCCAGCCATTCAGTAAAATATTACTAATTTTATTGAATTTCGACAAAGAAGTTATATGACTAGAGCACGCTCAGAGCTGAACTAATAACGCACAAAACATTTATTTATAAATGAGAAAAAAACCTCGCTTTTTTTTTTAACATGTGTTATTAAAGCATGAACCGGCAGTACCTAATTTTAGAAAATCGGCATCCTTAAACTGTAAAATATTGTTGCTCAAATTTCACGAAACTTTCTATATTTTAAACAAAACCGTTCCCTGGTATATGATCCGAGAAAGATTTCGTCAAAGTGACTAAATAAATATCGTCACTTTTTTGAGGAAACGAATTTCGTCATTCATTTTTTTTCTTCATAAAAAACTCCTCGTAGCGCTCAATGCATTCAACTCTCCAAATAATAACTTTATCATGGGCATTATGTAGGCCGATTAATGTTGGTCAAACAGCACAAGAAGGACAGATAGAACTAAGAGATAAATTACACACATGCCCGAAGCGGGATTCGAATCCGGGTTCTTTCTGGTCGTACGAGGTGAATTCCTTGACCACCCTAGAGACAGGTCGGCTTGTCTCGTCACTTTATTTTGATTGTCTAGTCTTCATTCTAGATAACAATCTTCAGCAATGCATTGCGAAGGGGTTCCGAGTTGAGGAAACATTCTCGTCATAAATTTGAAAGTTCGTGTTATGTCACAAATCACGTAATTTCGTGACGGAATACTTCTCACAATAGGATACCTGCAAGTGACGTAGTGTAGGTATCTCGATCTTGATTGGTTATTGAAACGTGGAATTCGTTTACGTTAGTAACTGTTCTTTCCATTCTATTTCGAGTAAGCCAAGCCAGTCAAGTATCAATTCTCTTAATTGGCACATTCTATATTCGTACACAAAGATTCTTTTACAAGGATTTCGATTCTTTCACTATATATTTTACTTGACATAAAGACAGGCATGAAACCACGTAGGACATCCTAATACAAACAAATTATGCATCGATGTTTCCAGGTACACAAAACAAAAATATATCACGGTTACAATAAAATACACAAACAAGTAATAAATCTAAGCTAAGTAAAAGATGTAGACGAGAAAGAATTATATTTCAACAGATTCCATGTGCAATAACAAACTTCACGTTCATTAACATTCTAACTTAAGCGGAGAAAATTTGCTGAACTTTAACACGCCATTTTGCTTATAAAAGATCAGCTGTAGCTGCCGTCACACGTGTGGGCATCTGTGATCTTCTTCTTGAAGTGTAAGTACCCAATTAATAAAATACAGCTCAAGGATTAATGAAACATTATAAGTGTGAGTTTTACTTCTGAGTGCTTCAAAGTTTAAAAAAAAGATAATTTTCTTTAGACTAGTATTTTGTGTATAAATACTCACATCAGTTGCACTCAGCACTTCTTCGATTTCACTAAAAACCTTATCTTGTGTATTTTGATCTAATGCTAAATGATAAGTCGTGAATGCAAGTGACACAGCAGTAGTGTGGTAACCAGCAATAAAGAATAAGCCACACTGAGCTACAAGCTCATCCATCGATAAAGCTAAACAAAAAAAATATTATTTTTATTGCCACAAATATTGTTAATTTTAACAAAACACCCAAAGAGGTTGTTTCTTGCACTCTTTTCTATTTAAACACATTTTGCTTGAAAACTACATATAAAATTTTATATAAAATTTATGCCTATATAGAAACAACAGTTATATTTGTTAAAAATAATTAATACAAATTACTTTAAAAATTAAAGCTGCTTTGCCAAAAAACGTACCTCGCATTGAAAACTGATAACACAACGTTTTCATTCTTAGTTTAAGACTAGCATATTTTTTTTTTAAATAATAAATATATCTTTATCATAAAATAATACTTTTATCCTAAAAGGTTGCATTATCAGGAAGCATCAGTCGATTTATTTATAATATATAATAAAGGAACAATTCAGCTTTAATTTTGAAGGAGAATCAAGATTAAAATTGAAATAGCAACGGAGATAAGATAGGAATATGAGGTAACAGTATTAGTCAGGAATAATAAAGAAATATTATTACAACTAGTAAAGGTCGCTAATTAATCATATAAATAAATAATCTACTGGTAAATACGTAATACTGATTACAGCGAAAGATATCTGTCTTATTTGACCATATCGAGGAATTTTTTTTTTTTTTTGGTCCAGTTGGAATGCTCAGTGGGCAAAATAAAAAAAAAACTGGTGACCTTGAATAACTTTTGATCGGATGATCGGATCTTCACATTTTAGGACTCAATCTTAATAGTTCGAGGAGGTGACCTCAAATAGTTTGTGATATTAAGTTCCGAAGTTAGACGCAAAAACGTACTTCAACTAAATAAGCATAACTTTTTTTCGACGGATCGGGATTTCTTACTCAAAATTTAGGTTGTAACGGCAGTTTGGAATATATGGTTCCAATAGTTCAGTCAGGTGAGCGGTCCAACTTTTGGAACACTTATCGTTAGTTTTACTTTTTGCGTATTTCACCACATCTTGAGAGAAACAAAATTTGAAAAAAAATTTCGAAACTGAAACACTTATCACCAATTGTAAAATTCGTTTATGCAACGATAGTGCAAAATAAAACTTTTACTAAGTATTTATTATTTTTTTATTTTATTAATTAATAATAATATCAGTCGAAAATATTTTGAAATCTAAGGTATTTACTTTTTTATTTGATTTTAAAGAATGCCATTTTAAATAGCAAAACAAAGAAATGTAAGCGAAATTGATCAAATAGTTCTAATGAGATTGAATTTGGAAAATATCGCATTTTTAAAATTCGATTTCTCAAGAACTATTCGACCGATTTCGCTCAGTTATGTATTTTGCCATTAATAATTGCATTCTTTAAAATGATGTAAACATTTGTACACCACACCATTCAAAATATTTTAGACTATTATAAGTAAAATTATAAAATAATAATAAATGTTTACTAAATGTTATTTTTTGCATGGAATTATCTTTGGCAAAACAAATTTTAGAATTAGGGTAAAAAATTTTCAGTTCATTTTTTAAAATTTACTGATATGGGGAAATGTGCAAAAAATAAAATTAACTATAAAGGGTCCAAACGTTGAACTGTTCTCTTGAACAAATTATTGAGACCCTATTCGGCAGATCTCGGTTACTCCCTATTTATTGGGGGGCTCAGAAATCCGAATCTGAGAAAGTACCTTTTTATTCTGTTTTTGTAACTTTAAATATCATCTGCACTAATTAATTAGCACATTTGAGATCACCATTAAGATCGAATCTTAGACCGTGAAGATCGATCATTAGATCAAAAGTTATTCAGCATGGTCTTCTTTATTTTTTTGCGCACTGAACAAATCAGTAAGAAAACAATTTATCTTTTTATGAAACACAGAGAAATATATTTATTAATAATCTAAAAATATATGTTTGGGTTTTATTACATCAAAAAATATGAGAATATAGAATATTCACGAACTCACTTTTTGTTGAAATATTTTTGAAAAATGAACGATTCTCTGATTCGTCTCCGTAATTGTGAGTTATGTCATCTGATGTCTTCTCGACGTCTTCTTCTTTAGATACCTCATCGGCCGAATCCATCAATAGTTGCAGAAAATCATTTCTTTTCTAGAAAACATATTTGTTTTATTTCATGGTCTCTAAATGAAATAAAATAAACCTTTTAACTGCAGAATTTAAAATAACACACAAAATTAAACTTTAAATACAAATCCTAAAATTATTTCCACTAAAGAAATTTATTTTTTTATAAATATAAAAGGGGGCTAAAAGCATATGTTAAAATATGTGAATATTCGTCTACGCTTGTGCCCCCCGCCCTTCCACGTGCAAATATTTCCCTTGTGATTCTATTAAGATCTATTAGTGTACATAAATAATTCTTTTAATTAATTAAGCAATAATTTTTTAAAATAAAGTTTTAAATGAAAAGTATATTATCATAACAAATTTGGTGAATTTACAACTGTAATTTAATATTTATCAAGTATAATTTTCGCTTTCATCACTCTGTACATGAATGCATGTGCTGATCGATAAGTTCTAAATCATTTAACAAATTTTTTTAACTGCAATTTATAGAAGTATATTAAGATAATTGTGCCAAACAATAATAATTCTAAAACGGTTAATAAGTCTAGACACTGATTTAAGTAAGTTGTAGCCTAGACATTAGATCTTACATTATTAAATATAGCTTAGAATTACATTACAATAAAAAAAAATAATAAAAAAATAAATGAAAAAAATAAAAATTCTCTTAGCTTTAAAATTTTTAATTTAGAAAACAATCAAAGTCAATGTAGCAAAAAAATTGTGTTCAAGCACATGGATACTCAAAATACCAGAGACGTGAGACAAAATTCCGAGGTCAAATTATCACAATTAAATGTGACCAATTAGACATGGGTGCCACTCTTCAGTCCTTGGGACTGAAATCAGTCTTGAGAAAAATCAATAGACTAATAAATTCTATCAATTAAATAAATGTTTCTTTTCTTTTTCATTAGAAATTTTTTAATTTTTTTTTTGTCGAAATAAAAATATATTGTATCTTAATGAAAACATATGATATGGTATTGATGTCAGGACTTTAATTTATCTTCTTTTTGTCAGCTTCACTAAATCTCATTCTTTAAAGTCTTGACAAATGGGATTGACTGAATTTTATCTACTTGTATAATTAAATTTTGTACTATTAATGAATCTAAGTCTGCTCTAGTTTGCTTCCTCCACCCTAACCCATCGTCATGCTGGTCAAAGTTAAATCAAGATTATTTTTTTAAGAAAGAAAGAAATTATAGTGCTAGAGCAAAAAATAAGTAATGGTGAAGTGAAAAACAGGGATACGAATGGTTTCAGATTGTTCAGTAAATAGTTGTTAAAAATTTTCAAGGTTGGCTGCTATTTATGTTTTGTTTGATAAAAAAACATAAAATAAAAAATTAGAAAAAATAATCAAATGATTGATTTAATATGTAGGCTAATATCAAGGAAAGGTAAATTTTGGTGTCAGTGTGCTATAAATTTCTAAACGTTTGGTAAACAACGCTAGACAGTATTATTTGGTCAAAAAATGAGTTCAGTCTTGAAATTTTTTTAGAGTGGCACCCCTGATTAGACAACATAATGGGTGATGACTGGTGACCTATAATGCTCGCAATAATGTAGAGTTTTGACCCTCCAATAAATCTTTGTGCAAATATGTTAATAAAGTCAGTGACCAATAAGTATTTTCCCTAAAAACAAACTTGTCTGTCGATCTAAGTCAGGTCGCAACATTAGTTGTTCCGAGGCAGATAGGAGCCTTCCAATCGATCGTTTTCCTTCAGTGTTGGACATCTTCTGGACACCTTCAAAATGGCCAATCCGTATATATAATATCACTAAGTGTGTTCCGCAGTGGACTGATCTTTAAGACACGTTTCTTCCCAGCAGATCACCGAAGTTAAGCATCACTGGATGCGGTCAGTGTAAGGGTGGGTGACTACTTGGATCAGTCTGCGTGGGAGCCGAGGGTGTGCGGTATGGGTCCTCGTTGAACTGTTCTACCGTAAAGTGCACGACTTCGCTTGCAGGTCGTCGGGTTACCGAAGCGGGGGTGCCATCCCCTCTGCAGAGGATCAAAATTGTGATGGCATGTCGTCGGATCATCCTCAGGGATGTTTCCCAGACCGTCGACAATAGCACATTGAGCAGCTGTAGTGCGACTCAAATAAACTACAACAACAAATTTGTTATAATAATATCTAAATATATTGGATCGATTTATTAATCTCTCTAACACAACTCTTTCGGCATCAAGGAGTTTCCCGTACCAGGATACGTAATCATCAAAAAGTTCTGAGCCGAACATTTACCGTGCATTTAAACAATGCAGAGTGCTTCAATCCCCATCAGTTGTTGGACAAGATTAGTCCTTTGACCAAATCAAATTGGCATTGTTTAACCAACCTCCAAATTTAACAATATTGAATCGCGTATGATTTTGGAAATAGCTCAAATGCATCTTTTGAATGTCAAGATTAAAAGTTATTTGGATTGCTGCATTGTTCGCTTTGAGTGAAAACCCGGCCATTAAGCACAGAGTTATCTGATGAGCCGTATTCTTTGTTTCGTTAAAAAATCTGATTATAAGGTACAAATAAGTTATTCGGTATGCTGTATTCTTTGTTTTGCGTAAAAATCCACACAAAAATATTCGGAGCTAAACGTTTTTATTTGGCGCATTTCGAAATTCAGAATAATTAAGATTTGTATAAACATCTAAGATAAGGAAATAGAAAAAGGTGAGTTAACCTGTCCTGTCTGTTTCCTTTGCTTCACAATTTCTAGAGTTATTTTTTTGAAGAATTGCATAGAGTCTCTTGGAAAGACACTGGAACCAAGTTTTTTCATGAGTTTTGGAAACATAACTATAAATAATAAATAAAAGACTTCCATTATTGTGATATCTTTTCCAAAGTTAAAAGTTATTAACAGAAAGAATCAATTTTGTAAGTGTTTTATATTAAATAAATTCTCAAAGGGAGTTTTCAGTTTGCTGCATAAAATTTAAAAATCCCGTTGCAATGAGAAAAAGACTTTGATAAAGTTACAGTTAAGGACCAAATAAAACGGATTTAATTTTATGCTGCATACAGGGTGGCTATAGTTTAGAAAAATTTAAAAAGTGGTGGCAATTGTTTTATGTGGTTATCGTAAGTTTTATGGGCTTCAATTTTAAGCATTCAGTAGGTCACATTTAACATAAACTTTAAATTTACAAATATTTTTAATCGATAGCAATTATTTTAAAACATTTTGTTTCCCCGACTTCTTCTATTAGTCTATTAGTCTTTAAATTTTTCACGAAAGGGGCTACCCTAATACAGCGGTGAACTTCATGATGAACCCTAGGGCTCCGTAGGAGACTCTTTAACCCTAGGGTTAAAGGGTTTCCGCCTCTTAGTACTTATTATAACTAGTAATAATATTTGAAACCTCTCATTATATTCAGATCTAATATATAATCCATAATTTATTTAATCTTTAAATTTATGAAATTATTTCAAATAAAATGCCAATGAAATTAAAATGGCATTTTTTTTTCAAAAAGAAAATGTAATATTTCTAATAACAATATATTGAACAAATTATGAAAGAACAAGCATTTATAAAATATTGAATTGTTATTTCACGCATTGATATATAGCGTTTTCCAAAACAAAATAAAATAACTATATTCTTTAAAAAATATGTTTTCTTAATAACCATTTTCAACATTTATTCTTTCAACAACATTTATTATTCAACATTTATTTATTCTTTTAAGTTTTTAATTCGAAGTATATCATAACTCGGCTAATGCATACACACCAAAAAACAAATTTATAACTAGACTAGATGCAATAAAATGAATAATAGACTAGATGCAATAAAATGAATAATAGACTAGATGCAATAAATTAGAAATAGGCAAGATGCAATAAATTAGAAATAGACTAGATGCAATTAATTTATAATAAGGACTGCAGATTTAACTGTCGGGCATAAAACCTAATTTAAAATTATGGATGATAAAACGGGGAAAAATCTTCCTTCCTCCAATTAAATATCTTAAAAATAGTCTTTTATGGGTTGTAATGTTCACAATTACCTTAATAAACTTCATTTATAAAAACGGGTTTCTGCCTGAAGAAAGTAGATTATTTGGGGTTTAGCAGCCGAAAAAAATTGAAAAACGCTGCCCTAGTATATGAATAAATTTAAAGCAATATAAATTTTTTTAAAAATAATATCGAATAAACAAGCCTACCGTTGTTAGGGAACTGTATCAAAATTCCGAAAAACAAAATTCTGTATGAAACAATCTCAGTGTTCGTACGATTCTAGTAAAATTTAAAATGTGGTGTTATTGTAATAAAAATTAATAAATTATAATAAAAAGGACAAACGTTTCTTTTTATTAGCTTTCACTTTCCATAAGCGTATTTCACAACTATATATATTTTTTTTCTAAAGTGATACAAATCTACTGAGATACATCTATTTTTATACCAATTTTTAAAAATTTTAAGTACTGCACGAACCCTGGATCGCATATCGATTGAGCCGACCAAGTGGCGTGCCTGCGAAGTCAATGCCTGAGGGTTTGAATCCTGGTCAGGGCATGGATATTTCTCTCTGTGTGTTGTCCTCTGTTCGGTGTGAATGTGGCTTACCCTACGAACGGGTATCTATTGGGTACTAGCCTTTATTCCCTACATATATATTCGTTGTTTTGAATCAGCTGAACATATTAAGGATATTGATTACACAACATCCAAGATATAAAAATAATATAATAATAACTCGGTTATACTTTTTAAGCAATGGCTAAATTTAAAAAAAAAAAAAAAAACGCTCACCATAATTTATTTTCTAATACTACTCTAAATATTGTGAGGAACTGGAAATTCCGGATTGGTTACCATGCTCGTAATTGATATAATTCGTATTTTTTCTTTTTACTATAATAATAAATTATGTGAAATATTTTCAACTATAAAATTTTGAAAGTTATTTGCAAATTAAAGTGGGACAAGATAGCTAAAAGTTGAACTAAAACCATCGAAATGCAAAAAAAAAAGGAACATTGCTTACAGAAAAGTAGCATGTGAATGCCGAAATCCTGATTAAATATTGGTTTTGCTCTTTGTATGAATACGTTATCGGGATCGTTGTTGGCATCAATCTTGGTTGAAAAAGCTGAACTAGCTATAATATCCATCGTAAAAGCGCCATAAAATCTGAAAGAAAATGGTGGTTTGTTACTCTAAACATATAGAATAACTTTAGAAAATATTTGCTTATAAGTGTGTGCACAAGATGTTCTCACCGTACTACCTATCATGCACATACAGAGTGATTCAGTGCAGAGGAGATGAGGTCAGTGATCGGTTTTACCGTTGCCTGTAGTATAGCGCGCTACTTTTTAAAAGAAGTAATGCAGTGAGTAGTGTGATGCAAAAAAACGGTAGTTTGTAGCGATTCCTGGCAACTACTCTTAACGATAGTTAAATAAAGAAACAAAGTTTAAACACAAAAGAAAATGTCGAATCTGATTGGTGCAAATGTTCCGCGGGCTTGTCAACGTACGCAATGAGAATGCCTCTTTCGCCGATCTACGTCTGATGCTCGAAAAAATCGGCGCGAAATCGGTCGAGATGTTCCTTTCTCAGGAATCCTGAGAAATCGAATTTTGAATATCTGACTCTCTTAATTCGATTTCACAGGAACTATAAAGTACGCTTTTGTGTCTAATTTCGTTGCTTAAAATATCCTCTTCATTAATTAGCATATTTGCGGTCACCCCCTCAAACCATTATGATTGAGTCCTAGAACGTGAAGATCCGATTATTCAATCAAAAGTTATTCAGGGTGGTCCGTTTTGTGTTTTTAGAACGGTACTTTATTTCTTGGAGGATATAAAAAAGCATTGATCTCTTAAACCACAAATATTTGATAGTTTCCTAGCAATTCTTAAATCACTGTCTAGAGAAACATAGAGTTTGAAAGTTTGAAGAACAAATTTCGTAAAAAGTGTTTCAGAATAAAATAAAAAACTATTTCATATAAATATGAATTAAAACTTCATAATATCTCCTCAAATTTAACCAATCCAATTTTTTATTCAAAATCATTTTGTATATTGGTGAAAATTAAGCACTCCAGTTAAGTTTGTCTTCTAAAAGTAGCGAAGTAGTGACTACATTTTGAATGTAGTTTGTAGTCGCTGCATTTAAAAGAAAGTAGTTGTAGTTGTAATTAACTGCAACTACTTTATTGTAGTTGTAGTTAACTATAAAGAAAATTTAGGGTTACCCGACCACTAGGTAGGGAGAATGATAAGGATTGAAAATTGCGTAGCTACCCATTGCCGAAACTGTCACAGTAGCTGCTAGGGTTCTTCCCTATTATGAATTAACTGTTCATGTACGTTTGAACCTTTATTTTATTCATCAAGAACATTAAAATTTTTCTGTTTCTATTGTGGAAAATGACAGGCAATAAACCCTGATTTAGCCGTTATATCGTGGTGTATTGTTTTTTCAACTAATTTGCAGAGCTTGCAAATCTGATTTTAAAATTTGTAAATTGGGATGAAACAGGTATGATCCTATTTCAGGTCTAGATGTATTTGGATATAATTTTTAACATAAAATTAAGATAACTTAGATAAGTAACAGCTAATGAGCTTGAACAGTTTGGATTGTGCCCCTAGATACGTATGATAACATTTCTGGCCATGCGATTCTCAATCCGAAAGATGGGCCTTGCTTCCTCTCCAAAATTGGAACCGCGGTTCTGAATCACTTTGCATAACTAGAATTGGATATTCGATGTATGCTTGTCTATATAAGAGAGATCGAGATTAGATTTGTAAATGAGTGTATGGAGCTGTGTTAGGTAGTAATTTCCAGAAAGATATGCTTTGTTTAATTCAAGTTATTTAATTTCTTGCTTAATAAAAGATTTTTTTTTAAGTTCAGAGACGAGTTTTTAATTATGCTTGCTTGGCATTTTCTATTACGCTCTAAACTGAAGTGAACATATGCTTGTGTTGACGAAATGCACTCTAAAGTTAATAAAGTTATAAAATGGTTAATGAGCTGTTATTTGAAAACTGGCGGGATGATCCATTGAATTGCGAAAATTCTCTTATATGCATTTCATTTTAGTAACTATAACCTACTAGTTACAGCAAATGATTAAATAGTTACCACTTACTTTAAAACATCTATCGGAGCGTTTAATTCTGCTGATTTTGAAAAACTCTGAATCAGCGTTTTTGCACAGTCTTGAAAAATACTGAGAACCTAAAATAAGGTTAAGATAAAATATATAAATAAATAAAATAAGGTTAAGATAAAATAAGGTAAATTAAGTAGATAATTACAGAGGCCTAGTAGTTTCTTAAAATAGTGATGTGAAATAAAATTTCTATAATGAAACATGTTTTATTTTTTTTAAATTTATCATGAAAAGTTCCGGACTATCAAGTCATTTGGTCATACATTGAAATTTGACATTTTTGCTGATTGATCATGGAATGAAATTTATCTAAATTTAAGTGTTTGCATAATCAGAGATATTTCCACTTGTTTTGATGATCAGTTTACAACCACTTTAATATTTCCCTCAGACCACTGTAAATATAATTCATAAATAATATTTTATGAATTATATTTACCAGTAAATATAATTCATAAAATTGGTGAATGCGAAGTCACCCTGTCCGAGCGGTACGGCCGTACCACCAATATAGATCAATGTTCATCAATGTAATGTAATGTTCATCCATGTAAAACAATAAATAAAAACAAAGTTTGGGGAATTTTTTGTGAAACTCAAATAAAAGCTAAATTTAAACATTTCGGTACCCTTGAGAAAATTTAGTGATACTTTCTAGGGTGTAGCAATTCTGAATAAAATAATGTATCGCATCGCGTCCTCTTCCTAGATTTAAAGGCTGTGGTCAGTACGCGGATGGGTGACCACTTCTTTGATCAGTCTGCTAGGGAACGAGGGTGCGCGGTATTCGTCCTCGTTAAGCTGTTCTACCATAAAGTGCTCGACTTCACACACAGGTCATCGGGCTATCAAAGAAGGGGGGCCATCACTTCTGCAGAGGATCAAAATTGCGATGGCATGTCTTCGGATCATCTTCAAGGATGTTTCCCAGCCCGTCGACACTAGCTCAGCCCATTGTGCAGCTCTAGTGCTACGAAAATAAATTACCTCCTAGGTCTAAACTTGCAAACAACTTCTGCATAAATTTATTTTATCAACCCATTTTAGATCTATAAGATGACAACGAGGCTTTTAAAGAAAAGATCCATATTATTTGGCAATCATTTTATTTTTAGATCAGATAACAATGCTTTGTTTTATTCATTACTGCTTATTTCAAACGAAAAATGACTGAAGTACATTTAGTGGTAAGATGTATGGAATTGAAATTTGTAACAAAAACTAGTTTGTTGCATTAATCCAATTTTGTTACCATTTTTAAATTTTTTTTTCTTCTATCACTGTCACCCTTCAGATAAATAAATGGGAGCTCAAGGTTATATATACCAATGGGAGCGCAAGGTTAACAAATATTTTTTTTCTTCGATAACTGTCACCCTTCAAAGAAAAAAAAATGGGAGCTCAAGGTTAACAGATGTTTTTTTTCTTCGATAGCTGTTACCCTTCAGATAACATACATACATGTTAAGGTTAACATACATACATACAAATTCCTCTTCACTCCGAATTGGAGCATAGGGCTTCTATCATAGTTTTTCATCTCACTCTATTTGTAGCCACATATTTTGCCTCTCTCCATGTTTTTCCTATTATTTTCAATTCGTTTACAATCGTCATGCTCCGAGTATTTTTACTATTTGTCTAAGATAGGTACTCTGACCGCCACTAAGTCAGCGGCAGTCTGGTGCTATGGAAACAAGAATAGGGCACTTTAGGGAGGGTAGCTTCGATGAAAGAGGTATCTTCTCTCGCCGAAACCAGTCCTAAAGAGGGAGCCAGCACCCCTTCTTGAAATAATCATACCTCGTTACCATAGTCACCGCCACAGCTCCAGACGAATGTCTGGCAGAGTACCTATCTTAGGCAAACAGGTCTTCCTATTTTTCTGTTGCCCAGAGGGTTCCAATGAAAAACTTGCTTTACTTTTAATGTTTCAGATTTACGTAGAGCATGATCAATTCATTTACGTTTAAGTTTTTTAGCTTAAAGTTAGTCTAGAACTTATTTAATTATATCCTCTAAAGAAGGGAGTACACAATTATGTAAATAAAATAGCACCATTGTGCTAATTAAAATAATTAATTAATTGTTTAAATTAATATTCTGAACACAGGGAGTTATTTTAGAATGCTTACCCTCTTAAGTTTTCCCGTAGAAAATGTGGGGGAGACAATGGCTCGAACTCTCTTCCAATCTTCGCCTTGTAAAGCAGTCATCATCTTGTTAAGCACATCATCTCCCATGTCGAATAACTGAAATGTTAAATTGATGTGTTGCATCTATGAACGCTTTTGCATATAGTACGAAGGGCTCCTTTGAAAAGGACATTTGCAAGAATAAATAAATAATAATAAATGCACATATAGTTAAAGATTAATAAATGTTATAGTTAAGGTTGCTCTGTCAAGACCAATATGAGCTGTATAAAGTAAGATCTGACGTAAAAACTATTATAATTGCCTGCCCTGTATACATTTGCCCGGTACTCCGGACACTGATGTTTCTCCTAACCTATCCTCAGCAGATATTAAAATATCGAATAAATATAAGAATATCAACGAATAAATTAATATCAAATTGGATATAACAAATATTTCGGACATTCACCAAAGCGACTATGTGATTGTTGACATTCACCTGTGAAAGTCGACATTCTCTTGATTTCGATCATTTACGGTAACATATGTACGACTCGGAATCAAATTCTGTAATTTACTAGTTTCCTTTTTATAACCGATATGTTGACAATTGTGACACAGCGATAGACATAGCTGACATTGATCAAGCTCTCAATATTATGAATGATACAGATTCTTGCAATCCATTCGCATCTGAATGAGAGAACCAGAGAGTGTTTACCTTTATTAGACTTTCTTAAATAACTCTTAATGATGATGAATTTCTCACTACTGTTAATAGAGAAGCCATTTTTTAGTTTCACTTTCTCTCATAATCCTTTATCCTATTCCCTCTAACTTAAAGATGCACGCTTGTTTTAACATGCATCCGATTTTTTCGAGGCTTGTTGCCATCGTTGTTCACGTAAAATTTTTGACATTTTAATTCTATATACTTGCTGTTAAATTAAAAAATTGATGTTCCATTGTATTCGGCGAATGGGCCTATAGGCCTAGGCCACTGTAAAATTTTCCTTAATATGCATCCGAAATTTGCTCTAAGAGTAATCTCCTCAATGATCTAAGCCGAAAGTTCTCTCTATTCATCGTGAGTTTTACTTCTATTATTATTGATGCCATCAATAGAATAAAAATCAAGCAATCCTTCAAATTCTCCGGTTTGTAAAATCTGATTGTTTTACTTTATTATCGGAAAAACCAATCTCTCCTCCAAATTTGCTAAGATTTTGAATAAATATTAGTTAAAGTCGATTGTTCCCATGTAAACAAACTAAATTGCCATAAGCCTTATGGTTGATATTAATAGCTAGGATATTATCAATTTTTTTAGTAACGATTTAATTCCGACTGAAAGATCTAGAAACATACTTCCAAACGTTTGTCCATCGCTGGAATTTATGCTACAAAATTGGAATTCTTATCACAGAAATGAGTTTTCTTCTGCTAAAATCATTCAACTTTGTTCTGCGAGGACTAACCTTAATTTCTGAATATCATTCCACATTTCAAAAATTTCTAACAATTTAGTTTTGGTGAGTATTTAGAAATTTATTCGAATTTAATTTCAACACAATGCACATTGGGGCTCGCGCGAATCTCCCTCGCACCTCATACCATTTTTTTTTGCAACGTATTTGTCTCGTTACTTTTCTACTGTCATTTTGTGACTAGGCACTGAGGAAGGTCCGATTTTAAAGAATCGAATTATCCATTTTTGTATCTTAATTTGTGCTTTATTCGCGTCGTTTTGCTTTGTGAATATTGTACTTGGTATTTTGCATTGCTCATTATGTTATATACGTTGGTACCTTATTTACATAACTTATTATTATTGCATTTCAGTTATCTCTACTTACATTATCACATTTCTTTATTCTTCCTCTTATTATTCCTAATTTAAATATTTTACTATTACTGATTTATTACCTCGTTATTTTAGAAATTTGGATTGTCTCCTGCATGCTGTTTCATTTTTTTAAGTACGTTCTTATTACTATTATAATTACGTAATTATCATGACTTAGTTTCATTTATTTTTTGATAGCGATGCATAAATGATACTTACTCTACGATTTGGAAATATTTGAAAGTCCTTCACAAAAATATCACGGATTGCTTCCGGTTCAGCTACTATCATGCATGGTTTCGTCAATTCATAGTATCTGCAAAATAAAAATTAATAAAAATAATATACTCTTTTTTGAAAAAAAAAGTCTCAAATTTTAAAAAAATTTATAATATAAAATTTATTTAATAAATAATGATGAAAAAATGCTAGAGAGTTTATGTTTAAGTTCAGTGACAAATTTATCGTTTTCACTAACATTGAAACCTGGAGAAGTTTAATAGCAGTAGACTTACTATTAATAAATATTTTTTCATAATCATGATTTTATAATTCATCTTTATTCTGACAATAAAATATTTAAGACCTAAGATATAATATGTAGCGAAAATAGACGCAACCTAAGATTTAAAAGTAAACTATCTGAAGACTTTGATGATAAGATTCCCTAAAAAGAGAAAAATCGGGGGTTATGAATTCCCAACAATTAGAAGCATTGCAGATTGTTTATTAAAAGACATAATTTCAAATTAATGAATTTTGGAAGAAGCGCCTTATCATTTACTTAAATACATGTATCTTCCCAAGAACGCAAAAGTAAATGTATCCTTGTTCTTCGGTCTTTGATGCAATATATAATTCTGAAGTATTACATTTTTAAAAGATTATAAAGAATTTCAGTTTATTTTTTATTTTAATCAAATGTTCATACATACCCATATATTCTGCCTATCTTTTGATATCTTTCAAGATCCAAGTCTTCTAAATTCTATAAAAAGTAAAACAGAAGCATGTGTAATTCCCATAAAAAAATATGTGAGATTACTAATGCATAAAATTAATATCATATAAGAAAAAGCTTAAATTTTGAACAAACAATTGGATTTTGAAGAAACGTTTATTGGCAAGATTTCGGTGTACTACACGGAAATATGCAGTAACTCTTCTGGTACACATTATAAGTGATCAATATACTCATTTACATTACAATGTACTAATTTTAATGTACTACAATTTTAATGTACTACAATTACATTTACAATGTACTAATTACATTCGCACATTCTAATGGTGATCTAGTTAGTTCATACGCTCAATATTCAGTTTCAAAGAATGCCCGCAACAGCAGCAATGATGCTTTCTTTCAGCGTTGTTGTAGGTAGGTTGTTAGGTACAGTGCATAAAATAAAAATAAAAACGGAACACCCGGAATAACTTTTGATTTAATGATCGGATCTTCACGTTAATCTTAAGGACGGGATCAAAAAATTTTATTTTTAAAATTCGATTTATATGAAACTATTCGACCGATTTTGGTTAAATTTTGTATTTTGACATGCAAAATTACATTCCTGAAAATGATGTAAAAAATTTTATATCTTACAATTCAACATTTTTTTACAATTATTTAATAAAATAAAATATTTACAAAGCGTTATTTATTGAATACAATTGCCTTTGGAAAAAGAAATTATATAATTGTGTGAAAATTTTTCTTAAATTCGCTTAAAAAGTTCTCGAGATACTGTGAAATATGCTAAAAGTAGAAATAGCATTAAGGGATTCAAACTTTGAACAGATATCCTGACCAAAAATATTTCGATTCTATTTCCCAGGTTACTACTACCCTCTGTATTTTGGGGGTCAGAAATCCGAATCCAGGGGGAAAAAAGTTATTTTAATTCTGAGAAAGAACGTTTTTGTCTGGTTTTGTTAATGAGAAGCAAAGCATAGAGTAACTTCCTGCCTGGGATGCCTCGCTTTGCCGCATTTTCGGGTGTGTACTTACACGCATAATTTTATTTTACACAAGCAATATTTTTCTCACTTCTGTATTCTCTGATCTAGCAATCTAGGGGATCGTAGCCACAAAGGAACTCCAAGAACGCTAGGGTTCCCCATTTAGCAATATAGTAGTTCTCTGTTGAGAAAGGTGTAAACTCAATGACTGTTTAGGAAGTGTTCCCAGTGACCAGTGGTAGAACATCAAACATTGGTAGCACTGTGCGGCTTTGAGGAAAACTCCTCCAGACTTAAAGTCTGGGGCTGTCTTCTGCTACGAGAGCACGTTTCTGATGTGGATGCCATGGCGTACTAATATTTGAGAGAGGCGGATCGACTGCACCAGTCATGGTTACCGGGAAGAAATTGTTACTCCAAGAAAACTCCTCCATTTTGATCTGACCAAGTAAAGTCTATGGCGGGCTTGTCACGCTTTGAATCGGTTATTCTTATTTCAGAATCGGAATTATCAGTTCAAAAAAAAAAAAAAAAAGTACTATTAATTTCAATCTTTTCAGTTCGCGATAATGTGTGTAGGCTTATGTGGGTGCAATGGAGGAACGAAGGTGCCGACTTTTTTATTCTCGCCAATTTATGCCAAGATAAAGACAAAACTATTAACCCACGACCTCTATTCCTAATGACTTAGTACCCTCAGTACGGTACCCTTAGTGCGACACGAGACTGAAGTACGGAGTTTTCCCGAAAACCGCTCAATATGTAACAGAAATTTGATGAGTGTATGCATCACTGTAAATGATGCGTACCGTGAATCACTAGTAAATATATAGTCCTTTGAAATCACATTTAGGCTAAACCTGAACTGTTAAAGTATTATTTTACTTTATTTTGCAGTTTTTATTAATAGGAAAAATGTTACAAGAAAATGAGCTTTTAGTACAGTTAGGGATAGATAAAAATAATAAAAAATATTATGTTGTTATATTTTTTATTATTATTACCGCATAAGATCTATAAAAAGATTTTCTGCAAGCCTCAATTCTCCTTAGACCTCAATAACTTGTACGAATGTAAACAATGAAAATTAGAGCAAAAAAATTTCAATAATTAATCAAGAACAATTTACATCTATATATATATATATTTCTCTTACACGGTGACAAAAAAAAGCCTCATTACAACTCCCCGAATGGCAACACTAGAAAATCGACCAATGATTTCCGCTAAAAATGTCACATGCCAAAAACTGGCTCAACATAAAGCTCTTTTAAAAACGGAAACTGAAATAACATTAAGCTAGGCAGAAGTGAGTAGTCTTTGTCGATAGATCTCTATTTTAGTATTTTGTCGAAAGCGCTTTTTTTCACGAATTTATGTATTGTGAATTTATTTGACGATCTTTGATTTATATCACGAATTTATTTGTCTTATTGTTATTAGTTATTCATTGAAAAATGAGTCTCAGTCGTGCTGTTACGCTTTAAGATTTTATACTATAGCGCATTTCTAATAGGTTTAACGAATTACATGTCATTTTTTTTAATTCAAATTTATTTTAATGACTTAGTATTTACTAAACAGATGTAATTTTTTTTGTAAAAAAAAGCTGTTGTATGGATTTGAATGATTGTTTTGAATTCTTAGAATTTTGTGTATTTGCAATGTACCTAAGTTAGTAGCGAGCGAAGCGATCTTGGTTTGCTTTGCAAACCATATAAGACTGCGTAGCAATTTTCGGGGGTTGGCAAGCGTTAGCGAGCAGGGGGCGCAGCCCACTAGTATACATCATTTGTTTGATCAATTAAAAGTTCGGCTTTCCAAGATAGGTAGGGAAATATATTTCCTTAAATATAGTTTCATTTTTATGAGGTTACAATTTCAAAAGCCGAGCAAACCAAAATTGTTAAATTAGTTCTTTGCAAATAACAAATATTTAAGTGCACGGTTTTGCTCTTGTTAAATATTTGTATCTAGTCCGGGATATCCTGGTTGGCAGGGCGCTGGTCTCACGTTCGTGAGAACGGGAGTTCAAATCCAGTCAGCAGAAGACTCTCCGTGTAGTAAATGGTGACTGGTGCACGTTAAATCTATTGAGTCGCCAGGTCCTCGCATGAAAAATTATACCTCTGGGGGTACTGAATTGGAGATGAATCGCTCTCTGGTTCAGGTTAAAATTACGGGAATGAATGGATCCACCCTATAAACGGGTGTGACGTATGGGTGTACCAAAAGTTGAAATTCTTGGCCATAGATGGCACCACTGGAAAACAAGAGCATTCGCACCTCTTGCCTTAATGGTCTACGACAACAGCAACAAATATTTTTATGTAAAATTTACGTTGGAGGGTTTTATGATTAACCTGTGTCAGAAAAATATTGTTTTGTAGGTAAGTTTAAGGATATGAGAAATGATAATACAAAATTCCAAGTCTCGTGTTTAAAGGTTTCCTTTTTAAAAATTATCTTCTATGTTTAATATCAACCATTATTCGAAGTCTGTTTTTTTTTAAACTATGAAAATCACTTACCTTTTTTAGGTTGTACCACAGGGATCCAAAGAATGGGACTGGTTTTATAAAAGGTACATTTCTTTCCTCCCAAAAGGTATGATTCTTGGTAATATATCTGTGAATCAATTTTAGAATTAATTATGTTCAGAGACAAGCATTGGTTGATCTTAACGTTGTTTTTCGAAGCTCTGTCGCCAAGGGAAATAAAAAAAATCACATTTTAAGTGCCTAACACTCGAAAAAATGCTATGATTTTAAACTAAGTATTTCATCTTGCCGTGAAGAATTATCTGGGCTGAACAACGGATAAATAACTTAAATATTTTAGAAATTATTAAACTTTTTTAAAAATCGCCAATTTTTGGCGGCATTTTTCCACCTAGCTGAAAATTATCAAAATCACTGCCTGATTACCAGTTTTTGCTCAGTTTTTTTATGACCCCAGATGATGCAGCATTGGAGGAAGTTTTTAAATATTAAAAAATTAGACCACAAATGCTTTTCAATTCCACAAAACTGTTCAATTCCTCCATATTGACGCTTTGCACCAATTTCTGAATAAGCATAGACAGCGATGGCCTTAGATAAGCTAAACTTAAGTCATGAGTAACATTTGCAAATTCACAACAGTTATGAAAATTGCATATTATTCACACAAAAAAGAAAAAGAATAATTTCATATTATGACAGAGGCTTCGAAAAACAGCCTTAAAACCGAATAATCCAAATAGATCCCAAATTGTACTGTAGTATGGAAGAAAAAAAATTTCTGGTGTTAGGAACAGTTATATTTTAACTTTTAAATCATTACTTAAAAAGTTAAATCCTAAATTACTTTAATTTCTATGGATCATACATATGTATATGATACTTATATTTTAACGTTTAAATCTTAATTTAAAAAGTTGTGTCTTCAATTATTTTACTTTCTATAACTCAAACATACTTATATTATAACGTTTTTCATAATAACAAATTAGTGCAGACTATATTTAAGATACGAAAGCTGTCAAAAACTTACTTTCTCTGAATGAACATACCGTTTTTTTCGACGGATTTGTTTTTGACGGACAGATTTTTGACCTCCAAAATATAGGGGGTAGCCGTAATCTGAAATATAAGGTCCCAATACTTCGGTCAGGAAATCCGTCTTAAGTTAGGTCCCCTTAATAATAACTTTACTTTTTGGATATTTCAACTTATCTCAAAAATGTTTTAAGCAAATTGAAAGTTTTTGCACACAAATATAAAATTCGTTTTTCCAAAGATAATTTCAAGCAGAAAATAACCTTTATTAAATATTTATTATTCTATTTAATATTAGTAAAAAAAATTTGTTAAGTATACAACTTTTACATCATTTTAAAGAATATAATTTTACAAGGCAAAATACAAAATTTGAGCAAAAGCAGTCGAATAGTTCCTGTGAAATCGAATTTTAAATATCTGACTTTCCTGAAATTCAGTTTCTCAGGAACTATTCGACCGATTTTGCTCAAATTTTGCAGTTTGCCTTTTAAAATTATATTCTTTAAAATGATGCAAAAAATTGTCTACCTTACAATTCAAAAACTTTTCGACCATTATTAAATTAAATAATAGAAAAAATTAAATATTTAATAAAGGTTATTTTTTTCCTGCAATCATTATTGGATTAATAAATTTTATAATTGTGGCCGAATTTTTTTCAATTCTACTGAAAAGTTTTCGAGCTATAACGAAATACGCAAAAACTAAAGTTAACATTAAGGGATCAAAACTTCGGAGCGCTTTTCTGACCAAACTTTTGGAACCATATTTTCCTGATTGTGGTTATATCTTGTAGGTCAAAAATCTGAGACAGTCGAAAAAAGGGTATGCTTATTCAGAGATGTGCCTGATTTCGTATCTTAAAATATCGTCTGCGTTAATTAATTAGCATATTTGAGGTCACCCTCTTCAAACATTAAGAATGAGTCTGAAGTGAGTACGAAATGCGGGTTTCTCTTAAAGCCTATTTATTTCATGAACACAAACATCAATATAACATAAACTAAATTAAACATTATGGGTCGTCCTGCGACCAAGCTAGCTAGTGAAAAAGTTGAAAAGGTAAGTGGCTGTTCTTCCTCTGAAGGACAGAATATATATCACTAGGATCACAGGGTTGCTTTTACCTGAAGATCTTAAATCGCCAAGCTGGCGGTAAGACTGGTGAGAGTGGCGAGCACCGCAAANTGGTTTTTTTTTAAACTATGAAAATCACTTACCTTTTTTAGGTTGTACCACAGGGATCCAAAGAATGGGACTGGTTTTATAAAAGGTACATTTCTTTCCTCCCAAAAGGTATGATTCTTGGTTATATATCTGTGAATCAATTTTAGAATTAATTAGGTTCAAAGACAAGCATTGGTTGATCTTAACGTTGTTTTTCGAAATTCTGTCGCCAAGGAAAATAAAAAAAAAGCTATAGTTTAAGTGCTTAACACTCGAAAAAATGTTATGATTTTAAATTAAGTACTTCATCATGACGTGAAGAATTATTTGGGCTGAACAATGGATAAATAACTTAAATATTTTAAAAGTTATTAAACTTTTTTAAAAATTGCCAATTTTTGGCTGCATTTTTCAACTTAGATGAAAATTATCAAAATTACTGCCTAATTCCCAGCTTTTGCTCAGTTTTTTATGAGCCCAGATGATGCAGCATTGGAGGAAGTTTTTAAATATTAAAAAATTAGACCACAAAGGCTTTTCAATTCCGCAAAATTGTTCAATTCCTCCAAAGTGACGCTTTGCGCCAATTTCTGAATAAGCATGGACAGCGATGGCCTTAGATAAGCTAAACTTAAGTCATGAATAACATTTGTAACATTCACAACAGTTATGAAAATAGCATATTATTCACACAAAAAATAATAATTTCATATTATGACAGAAACTTCGAAAAACAGCCTTGAAACCGAATAATCCACATAGATGCCAAATTGTACTGTAGTATGGAAGAAAAAAAAATTCTGGTGTTAGGAATATTTTAACTTTTAAATCGTTACTTAAAAAGTTAAGTCCTAAATTCTTAACATCTAAATATAAATATCATACATATGTATATGATATTTATATTTTAGCGTTTAAATCTTAAGGTCAACCCCTTCAAACATTAAGAATGAGTCCTAGAACATGAAGATCCGATCATTAGATCAAAAGTTATTAAGGGCGGTCCGTTTTTTATTTTGCGCACATTATACAGCAATCTTATTTTTTCCTTAACGTTAGTAAGGGGTATACCATAACATAAAGATCTCATTGGTTTTACATTATATCTAACATTAGCTCGACTTTTAAAGTGCTTAAAAAAAATAAGTCAGAAACTTTTCATTTTTGAGGAAAAATACTTTTGTTAATGATGTATTTAGAGCTGTATTTTACTTATTTTGATCTTATCCTATTTATTGATTTACTTGTTAAGCTTACCGGACATAAAAACATAATATATAGATCATAAAAAAACAAACTCACCTATAAATATAGAATATCAGACTGCCTAGTACAGTGGTATAAACATAATAATTCAGTAAAAAATCCCAAATATTCATCTTGACATGAGAATTTTTTTTCTTTTATCCTCTGCAGTGAACGAATGTTTTAGGTAAATCGAAACAATCTGAACAGCTAACTCTGGCAAAATAAAATTTAATCAGAGAGACGAGTCAATTGTCTGAATATAAAAAGTAGTAGTTTAATCTAGTCTCGATCTCGCTTTTATAAAGATGACCCTGAACAATCCTTATCTACATAATGTCAAAAGGAATATTTCGAATCAAAAATTACGTCAAGAGCTAATGCAGGATCTCTTTTTTCATTATTTTTTTTTTTTTGGCTCTATTTGCGGTGAGCATTTAGTTAACACTTTCATGGCGGCATAAGCGCGCCTTTGTCTTGCTTTTTTCTGCGCTAAACGCAAATTTCTTTCCAAGTTGTTTATTTAATGTTTGTAACTTTAAACAATAATAAATCGATTGCAATCCGTTACAATTCTCACTTTGTGTTTGCAGGCATAAAAGTAATAAAATAATAATCTATACTAAATGTGCTAAATAATTCGCTTAAAGCGCTACTATATATTCAAAAACTTTGTGTGGAGGACGAATTATCTCGTCTCTAGCACACAGTGAATATATCTGGAAGACGAGTTATCTCGTCCTTCGCGATGAAAGAGTTAAAATTTATAGGTTAATAATTCATTTAGAAATCTATTAATTGATTAATTACTTTTTACAAACGCTATATCACTTGAAGGTTACATCTTGATGAATAGATATTCTTTTTAAAAATCGTGATAACCATATTTTAAATACGTATTATAATGTTATATCTAGAATTCTATTTTGTACGATACGTATTAGCATCAATAGTACCGTTTCCGACAGCGGTTAATACCGAATACGATAACAGTCGTGGGTATTATCAATTGATATAACATCACGATTATTGTCGACAGTAAGAATGGTGAGTAAAAATGTGCAATGATATCAGTACATTATGTATTAAAATGAAATGAAGTATGAGATTAGAATAAACAAATACTTATAACTTCAAATCTTTGTGCTTAACATACATAACTGAGAGCAGATTTAAACAGAGCTTCTATTTATTAATCATCATAATAGTAACAGACGGGTAAGGGATTTAATGGATCCACACTTGGATCCGCCTTCATCACGTGGTATCCAAAGATGATACTATTTCGTTATTTTTGGGAGAAGGTAGTGAACAATCCTAAACAAGGTTGATATTTGGCGATCGTATGACTAAAATACTTATTTCGCAATCTTAATGTGCATTTTTTTAACATTAAATATTTCATAAATTTGATGATATTTCCTTCTTTTGAGTGAAGAGTTGGTCCTTTTTGAGACATTTTGTAACAATATATTTAATTAGCTAGAGTAACGAAAGGTATAATAGCTGATGATAAAGCGAAGTAAGTGACTGAAAAAGAATTCACTGTTTGCGTTTGGGGCGCATTAAGGGTTGTCTCAATTTCAAGTGCGGAGACGTCTTACCTCTTACTCTCGCGCGGAAATGAACTCTTCGACCGAGGAGGTGGAGCCAAGTGCCAACACCTGGTGAACGAACTATAGTAAATTTAATAAGTGATTTTGTGGTACAAGTTTTGATTCAGTCAGAGATTTTGTGATCGTGTTTGATGAAACAAATTAGATTTGTTTTTACCGTTTCCTATTCATACCTTCTTACATTTTTACATTCCTACATTACTCCTACATTTGTAAATTAAGAAATATATAACAATATAAGATGTTAAAACTAGCAAACTTCATTCTAAGTGAAATTAAAACTTTTAGCCTATTTCTGTATCCAACTGTCTCATGAAACATTTGCGATCCTCTTTAAAAAAATTTCTCGGTTGCGACCACCCTGACTACAACAGTTTTATTTTTATCTTATTTTATCACCCTCGTTGAACGGCCGACCCGATTTTTGAGTATACTACTACTAAGCCTGAGTGTACTACTACGTAGCCTTGTAATTTTGAACCCGACCCAGAAGACAAGTGAAGTCCTGAATCAAGCACTGGGAGAAATTTGCTTCGTCGAGGACTTTTTGGTGGAACTAACCCGTATTTGGAGTGGAAAACCACGAAAATCTCCCATGATTAGCCTGAGGGCTAAGTGACTCTAACCCTTGATTCGTCTACCACTAAGGATGTTTTTCGTCAGCACTATGGTCGTTTTCAGAATTCGTATGGACAAGCCATTGCTGTGATTCACCTCATTGGAAACCAGATTCACCTCATTGGAAGGCGAACGCTCTATCCCTTGAGCCACCACGGCTTTCCAATAGTTCTTGATAAAACTAACCCGCATTTGCGCAAATATGATCGGTGCAATGGACCTGGAATTTAACTCTATTCACCTCATTTGCAAGCGAGCAAATGAGGTGAGGTCTTTATTATCCCATGAGCCACCAGGTCTCAAATGTTTTATTTTATTTTATAATTGCCGTTTAACAACCGACCCAATGTTTGGGTTCACGTCTACCAGTGTCCAAGTGCGTAACTTTGTAATTTTGAACCCAATCCAGAGGACAAGGGAAGCCCAAGATCAAGTATTAGGCGAAATTTTGCCTTTGAGGAGAACTTTTTGATGGAACTAACCCGCATTTGTTTTACACGGAGAGGAATACCACGAAAACTTCCCACGGTTAGTCTGATCACATACGGACTCTAACTCGTGTTCCATCTATCACCGAGGATATTTTACGTCACTACTGCGGTCGGTGCAAGCCGAGTGCGTTATTCGTATCGACCAGCCACAGCTGGGATTCGAACAAAAGACTGCTTATTGGGAGGCCAGCGTTCTATCCCCTGAGTCACCCAAATGTTTTATTTAGAATAAATGTCAATAGTCAAATAATGTTATTACCACTATTTACTTTTTTCTAAAGAAGAAAATGACCTGTGCTTAAATATAAATGCTGAGCTTTAACGAATAATAGTTAATGGTCAGAGCGCTCATGTTATAACGATTTTTATGTAATTATCATGAGCAAAAAGGTAATGTAATAAAATGTCTTTTATGTACATTTTTTTCAAGTTTTTAAGAGCACATATCAGTTTATATATTTTTTAAATTGTATTAAAAGAAAAATTAGGTCTTATGAAGGAAGACTTTTTCTTTTGAAAATTAACTTTTACAATTGTGAGTAGTAAGTTTTTGCTTTGTTTAAACATGCACAATATTTAGCATATGTAAATTACCTTGAAAAGTGCTATGATGAAAAATGAATGAGAGTGCCTCAAAAATGCCTCTTTAATAGCTTCCAATTCAGATCAATGATAAAAAAAATTTGGAATCGCGATACAATTGTGATTTTTTAATTGAATCATAGTATATCAGGTATGTTTTGTCTAAATAAAATCTAATAATGAAATAATTATGTTACTGGTTATAATCTTCTTCAAATATATTAAGTACGAGGGCTCTACAGCGTCTAAAACTAATATTTGAATTAATCTTCTCAGTACTAGTTTCAGCAAATAAATCCTGTATTGCTCTCATTTTATTTTATAATTCAAGCAAGCCTCAATTTAATCGCATGCTTAATAAATTCTAGCATTTGTCTAAAATTATAAATTAAATACCATAAAATTTTACTTATATATACAGTGGTGGCCAAAAGTATGGACACTTTTTGAAAGTTTCATGCTTTTCAACTTTGTGTGCTTGTAGAATATATTAATTTTCACTTAAATACAAACGTTTATATATCAAATTGAAGGTAATTTAATGTAGAATTTAATANAAAAGACAACTAAGTGAAGCTATAATTGATTCTTGGCACCATGTGATTACGAAAGATGAACTCCAAACACTCGTTCACTAGATGAAAAGACGCTGTGAAGCTGTCTTAAAAATTAAGGGTTATCCTACTAATTGTTGATTGTGTAAGTATCACTTTAAAAAAATGCAAATCTAAGATAGATCTTACTATTAATTGCATAACGTTTTTTGTTATACAGATATTGTAATACTGTATTTATTATTAAATTCTACATTAAATTACCTTCAATTTGATATATAAACGTTTGTATTTAAGTGAAAATTAATATATTCTACAAGCACACAAACTTGAAAAGCATGAAACTTTCAAAAAGTGTCCATACTTTTGGCCACCACTGTACATGCAATTTAAATAATTTATTTTTTAAATTGACATTGTGACGAAAGAACGGTGTTGTTGTTTTTTACTTCTAATAACATTAATTTTACAAAAATTAATATTTTATTTCCTAAAGAATGATGCATTCGAGAAACAAAACTTGTAGTTTGAAGTGAATTTACGAGATTTTGTAGATTAAATTAGTCTTCCAATTTTCCTTTCTTCAAGCAACATTTGAAAATTAAACTAAGTTCCTTTTTGTGTTAGATTTCTCGAACTCAATAGTTATAACAGATTCAAATCTTTCAAGCTGAGCAATCAAATAAGAGAAATGAATTTATAAGTCATTGCTGATTAAATTTGTATTCCGATTCTCTTTTTCTCAGGCAGTGTTTGAAAATTAAACTAAGTTCCTTTCTGCGTTAAATTTCACGAACTTAATCGTTTTAATGTATTTAAATTTCTAATTTTCTTTTCTCGTTTAACAGAACAGTGTAAATAATCGTTATGTGGGTACCATAAGAAAACTTGGCGGAAATCACTGTTAATCACTGTTACTTGTTTGAGTTCTTTTTTCTTTTTAAATCTGTATGGGTAAACAGCTAAAAAAAAGACATGTCGGATTTTTCGGATCGGGTTCCTTGAACCACAGGTGGCCATTCAACGTCGTAATAATATGTTCTTGACGTTATGTTTGATATTGGCATTCGATTCAGTTTTCGATTCAGTTTGGAGCAGCAGAAACGCATCGGGCATAATATATCCAATAAATCAATCTTTATAAATCTTCTAAACTTGCAGAAACTTTTACGAAACTTGCAGAGAAATAAGTAATTAAATTTCTGTCGCAGAACATCAGAGACGATAATAACAAGTTAACGACAAATAACAAGTTTAAACACAAAAATTGTTTATTTAACGAAATCTTATTCAAAATGAATTATAAAATGAGGATTTAAAATAGCATTACAAATGTAATTGATAATATGTACGTCTTCCTTCTTATATTCAAGCATATAAATCACGCACACGCATAAAAATGTTTGTAATGACACAAATGTGTGCTTGATATTTCCTCTATGAACATTTTAAAGGACAATTATCTCTCTGTACGAATCGAAGGGTTATTTCCTTCGGCCGAAGAAAGCCTAGTCCTCCCCTGTCATGTTCTAAGGGTATCTGAAAAGAAACAATTATTAGTTGTGCTAAGACATACAGAATGATCAATGCTTTTAAATGGTACTTTTCGAAGCCCCATCAAAAACGAGGTCAAAAAATATCACATTTTATTTGTTTTACAATCGTCGTTGGATAATCGTCCCAATTTTGGAGTTAACGACTACTAATGTTCAACTCTGTGTATAGTTTGTCTACGGTAAGAACTCCCCCCCCCAAAGTCTGCTTTGGAAACAAGAATAGCTCATTTCAGGGAGGGTAGCTTCTCTTCACTCTAGGGCTAACACAATAGACCGAAGAAAAAGATTTTTTCGCCGACCCGAACAAAAAACTGCCCTAAACAATGACCCTACTCCCCTAGTCACCGCCCCGGGTCCAGATCAATGGCTAGGGGAGTTCTTACTTTAGACTAACTATGCCATTAATGTTCAACACAGTGTTTATTAATTTATTTATGATTTATTGAAAGCAGAATTATGAAATAAGTAACGGCTGCAACACTCAAAAAATACTTAACTCAATCAGAGATGTGCAATTGGGGAAAAAAGAGGTAGCAAAAATATAGGTATGACTATTATAACATTTATTATTTACTATTATAATTACTATTATATATTTATTGTTCTTGCTGTCAGTTTAATTTTAACATGCATAAAGTATTGTTACCTCTAAATATACTAGTATAACTTTCATATTAAAATAAACAGTGGTTCTTGATAAAATATTCCGAAGTATTGCTAACCCACCCACAAATAATTCAATAACGAAATAGTTTGACTACCAATTTTTTCTTAAACCTTGATCTGCTGACAGCAATGCTGCAACAGTTTTAGCTGGAGAAATAAATTTCATTTTTCTTTGGGTGGCAGTAAAGTTTCTAAATGTAGATTTGAAAATGATTTTTTAATTGAATGAGATGAAATGATTGAAAAGAACTTAACTATCAGATTTTCCCACTATGCTGGTAATCCTAGCAATGAGTAGCCAACCTGAATAGCTTGTACTATTGAGCGGGTCTTCAACGTTCTAGGACTCACTCTTAAAAGTTAAAAAAAGGTGGTTAAAATATCCGAATTAATTAGTACCATTTTTAATACCATTAGAAGAAAAAAAAACAGGATAGTCACAACCGGAAAAAATTTAAAAACTGGTAGAAAAAGATCGAATTAACGAATTGATTTGATATCTTATCACTTCAGTTTCTTAGGATTATTTATTTGTTTTAAAATACATCTGGGTTAGAGTGTAACTATATAATTCAAGTTTTTTCATTGGAAAATTTGAGTAAAAAAATTTATTTCACACAAAATTTATAACAAAATTTTTTTTTTTCGTTAAGCAATACCTGTGTTTCCGAACAAGTTTGAACCTGGAAAGTGCTAAAGACATTGGCAAGGCAAATTTTGGACTCCAAAAGGGCAAATCGCATTCCAATACAGTTCCTAGGACCTGCACCAAAAGGTAGATAGGTATACGGAACAATTTTTCCTTTATTTTCTGAGTTGAACCTGAAAGAAATGTGTTGATAAAACATTAAGTACTTGCAAAAGAAGATAACAGGAACAACAACTGTTGTTTGACTTCATTGAAAGTACTATATTAAAGCAGTGGTTCCTAAATGGTGTTCCGCGGAACCTCAGGGTTCTAAAAAGGTTATGCGAGTTAGTCCTTTTAATAACCAGTTATGAATTTTAAAACCTCTAATTCATAATTTATTAAATCTTACGGTTGCCTTTATGAAATTATTTTAAGTGAAACGCCAATGAAATAAAAATGGCATTTTTCAACGAAAAATATAATACTTCTAAAAACAATATATAGAACATATTATTAAAAAAAAAAACAAGTATTTATAGAATATTCCATTAGTATTTCCTAAATCAAAATAACTTCCATTTCAACGTCATAAAACATTATCAACCATTTTCAATGTTTATAGCAGTTATTTTAATTTTTCGAAGTAAACCATAATTCGACTTAATTTAATCATTTTTAGCTTACATATAGTATATGCACCGGAAACAAATTCTGCACAAGGGCTGAAAATTTAACCGTCAGACATAAAACCTCATTTACGTTCATTAATGATAAAACTATGAGAAATCTTCATACCCCTAATTAAATATTTTACATATACTCTTTGATACGTTATTACCTTAAATTTCATTTATAAAATTGGGATTTCGTAGAATGAAATTTGAATATTTAAGGATAAAATTGGAAAACACTATATTACAGTATTAAAGTAATATTAAGTGCTTAAAAGTACATAATGTTGAAAAATAAAGTCGTGTCTTAACCTTTATTTCCTCATAGTTTTTCCCATTATTGTGAGAATCGAAAAGCATTGGAAATATAATGACTACGTAAAAGGTGTGTGATATAAAATTTAAAAAAGTATCGTAATTAAATAATTTCAAAAATTATATATTTTTCAAACTACGTGCAATTTTTTATTTATGTATTTTATTTCTTTACATATATTGATTAGCGAAAAACATAAAAAAGTAAAATTACATTTAACCCTTTGACGCAGGCGGACACTGATGTCCCTTTTGTATACTTTTTCTCTGACTCTCAAATTGCATGCCAGAATTATTTTGATATATATNGGACTCCTAAAATAGCAGACACTTTTGTAAGAAGGAAGATAACATTGGCACCTACACAAGTTCATTTAAGATCGTTAAAATGAAATAAGGTAGAAATGATGATCACTTATCACATTTTCGTATTGATACCAGAAATACAATGTATTTCATTTCGTAATTTTTTCATATAATATTGCTCACTCAAACAGCAGAAAAAAATACTTCACAACGAAAAAAAATGTGTCTCAATAGCCGAAATTTTGTAAATTCGAACTCATTATAAACATATTACCTTTCATATTTATATTTGAGCAGCGACGGCTCAAGGGATAGAGCGTTGGTCTTTCAATGAGGTGAACCAGGTTCGCATCCCAGCGATAGCTGGTCTATAGGAATCCGCATCCGGCTTGCACCGACCACAGTGCTGACGTGAAAGATCCTTAGTGGTAGACGGATCATGGGCTAAAGTCCCTTTTCCATCAGGCTAACAATAGGAGGTTTTCGTGGTTTCCTCTCTATGTAACGTAAATGTGGGTTAGTTCCATCAAAAACACCTGCAAGAAGGCAAGTTGCTCCCACTACTTGATCCAGGAGTTCCGTTGTCTTCTGGATTGGGTCCAAAATGACAAGGTTACTGGGTTGAATATGAGTAGTCGTCAACCCAAAATTGGGTCGACTGTTCAACGACGGATATAAATAAAAATATTAATATTTATGGGGAAGTAGAAGCTTATCGTATTATATTGGTAGGATAGACTCAATACATCGTACTTTTTCTTGAATTTTTAAAGCTCAGAGTTTGGAGAAATTCTGATGTTGTGTTTAAGTACAGTACTTACATTAGTTTCTCTTAGCACTTCCTTAATTTCCTCGAAGAGTTTTTCTTGAATATCTTGATTCAGAGCTAAATTATACGTTGTGTATCCAAGCAGCAATGTTGTGGTCTGATATCCAGCAATAAAGAATAGGACACACTGAGCTACAAGCTCATCCATCGTCAGGCCTAAAAGAATTTTGTTTTGTGTAAACATTTATTTGGAACATGAAATAATATTTTAGAATTATTCAGAAATTCGACTACTTCGAGGTTATTATTCCATAATGGACAATCTTTAAATAATAAAAACAAAATAGCTGTCTACTAAAGCTTGTTTGAATAGTAATATCGTAAATGAAGCACTCCTTTTCCTTAAAACTATCGGTGTTGACCATCAATTTCCTTCTAATGTTGACTTCATTTCCAGAGAGTTGATTACTCAATGCAACAAACTCTCCAATTCGTAAAATCTGATTATTTTACCTTATTACCCGAAAAACAATCCCCCATTTTCTAAGATTTAAAATTGTTTTTTTTTCCTCTGTAAAGAAACTGAACCTGACCCACCTTAAAGAATCTATGGCTGGGATTGTTATATATATATATGTATAAAAATTACCTTTCAGGATCAAATTTTTCAGGATCAGGAAAAAATTCTGGATCCCTGTGTATAGCATATATTGGAGTGGACACTGTCGTCCCCTTAGGAATAGTGATTCCTGTACCTTTTAATGTGTAATTATCTACAACAGACATTCTTTCCATCCTAAATAAAAACAATATTTTTGTCAGTAAAATGTAGAAAATTCGGTGAGTCAATGGCTTGAATAGTTATGGTTTTAATTCTTCAATAATTTAGGTTTCAGTGGGTAAATAATTTAAATATCAATGCTTGAATTAATTACATCCTAATGCTTCCATTAACTGCATACTAATTCTTGAATTAATTGCATCTCACTATTTGGATTTCGCTGCTTGGTCATTTAGAGTTTATTAGTGCTTGAGTTAATAGCAGCTTAATTTTCAACATCTCCTGTATGACTAATTTTGGTTTCAAAGCTTTATAAATTTAAATCTAAATGCTTGAATAATTAAGATCTCGATTCTAAAGCAATTTAGATCTCAATGCTTTGAATAATTTAGATTTCAGTGCTTGAAATAATTGCATCCCTATACTTGAATTAGCTGCATACTAATGCTCGAATTAATAGCATCTCACTATTTAAATAGTTTGATTTCAATGCTTGATTAATTAAATTTTAGTGCTTGAAAAAATAACCGTTTAATTTCAAGATCTGATGTTTGACTTACTCAGATTTCAGTGCTCAATTAATTTAAATCTAAGTACTTGAGTAAGTAAGGTCTTAATGTTTGAATAATTACGATCTCGATTTTAAAATAATTTAAATCTTAATGTTTGAATAATTAAGATCTCGGTTTTAAAATTATTTAAATCTCAAGGCTTGAATAATTTAGATTTCAGTGCTTGAAATAATTGCTTACTAATGTTTGAATTAATTGCCTATAAATCTCCCTATTTAAACATTTAAGATTTCAAAGCTGGATTATTTATATTTTCGTGCTTGAGTTAATAACAGCTTGCAACATATGAGGTTTGACTAGTGCATGTTTCAATGCTTTATTAATTTAAATCTAAATGCTTGAGTATTTATGATCTTAATGCTTGTAATTATCTCGGTTTTAAAATAAATTAGATCTCATTACTTAAATAATTTAGACTTCACTAAGCAAACAATTTAAGTATCTCAGTTCTCAGTAAATTACGTTTATTATTTAATTTCGAATTTTTAAAAAACAAAAACAAAATATATGTTTCTAAAGTTGTCTCTTAATTCTAGTAAAAAAAAGTTGTTGGAAAAAATTTGCGGAAATCATAAACTTTTTATTTACTTATTTTATATCTAATCGGATGACTTGACACCATAAAAACTATACCAACCAAGGACTTTTTTTGTATTTTGAAATCAAGAGGCCTAGATGGTTATTCCTAACAAAATTATCCATTTCTTTTTTTTAAAAAAAGACAGTTAAAAAATTTATATTATCTTGTGTTTTGAGAAACCTAACTTCAATTATAAGATAATACTCAAAACACTTCTAACGTTACTGCAAAAGTACTGAAACTCACTCATTGAAATCAGACAATAAGCCTCATTATTTAAAATAGCCTCGTTTAATCGGTATGTAAACTGTTAACATACAATTTACATTTCATGAAATACAAATATAATGATGTGAAAATATTAACTTGCGACCTTTATTGTTTAGGTTTGAATAATTAGGTACTAATTTTCGTAATAATTTCAATATATAACTTTGGTATTTATGAAACACCCTGTTCATATTTTTCAATACATTTGTTATAAAAATGAAACACAAATACTTAATTCGTACCTTATAACAGGTGGATGAAGTCTAAGAGCTTCGGACATGACATTGTCTAAATACTTCATATTTTGAATTGCTTCGTAGGTTAATTTGCCCTGTAAAATTAAATTCTCCGTTATTCTAAACACAATTATAAACTGATAATATTACTTAAATTTTGCTTCACTTAAATGGTGAGAAATAATATAATTAAAAAAGAAAATCAAGTTTTATTAGTTAGAAAATCATTAGTTTTATTTTAATCATAATTCTTTCTTCATAAATTATTTAACAATTTTAATGGTTTCAAGTTGGCCCTTAGAACCATTAAAATTGCTTAATAGATGAATTATTAGATCAAAAGTTATTAAGCAGTTTTTATTTTGCCCTCTTTGCTTGTTTATTACTTATGAAAGGGCGTCAATTTTTGAATAAATGAATTTCGTTGGACCGAGGAAATCGGAAAAGTGCAAAAAGCTAAATTGTACTTTGTTATTGCAGAATAACATTATGAACCATCAAAGTCCGTTACAACGGTAATACCTCATAGCAGATGAAATTGTCGTTATGAAAAATTTGCTGTCATAAGTAATTATACGTATTTAATGTTAAAATAGCAATATAATAGACGTTATAGTGAGTAAGAACTTTTGGTGCTATTAATTATACTGAATATAGATTTCAATAGTAGGCGGTCAAGATCACTAAAAAAAAAAAAAAACAATCTTCAAATTTGGGTTGCAGGACTCCTAAAATAGCAGACACTTTTGTAAGAAGGAAGATAACTTTGGCACCTACACAAGTTCATTTAAGATCGTTATAATGAAATAAGGTAAAAATGATGATAATTTATCACATTTTCGTATTGATACCAGAAATACAATGTATTTCATTTCGCAATTTTTTCATATAATATTGCTCACTCAAACAGCAGAAAAAAATACTTCACAACGAAAAAAATGTGTCTCAATAGCCGAAATTTTGCAAATTCGAAGCCATTATAAGGGTCATTCTCACAAAAACAGTCATTTTCATGTCCCCAGTATATTTTATGTTTTTTTTACAGCTTACGAAAAGAAAAATTTCAGGGAAANGTAAATTCGAACTCATTATAAACATATTACCTTTCATATTTATATTTGAGCAGCGACGGCTCAAGGGATAGAGCGTTGGTCTTTCAATGAGGTGAACCAGGTTCGCATCCCAGCGATAGCTGGTCTATAGGAATCCGCATCCGGCTTGCACCGACCACAGTGCTGACGTGAAAGATCCTTAGTGGTAGACGGATCATGGGCTAAAGTCCCTTTTCCATCAGGCTAACAATAGGAGGTTTTCGTGGTTTCCTCTCTATGTAACGTAAATGTGGGTTAGTTCCATCAAAAACACCTGCAAGAAGGCAAGTTGCTCCCACTACTTGATCCAGGAGTTCCGTTGTCTTCTGGATTGGGTCCAAAATGACAAGGTTACTGGGTTGAATATGAGTAGTCGTCAACCCAAAATTGGGTCGACTGTTCAACGACGGATATAAATAAAAATATTAATATTTATGGGGAAGTAGAAGCTTATCGTATTATATTGGTAGGATAGACTCATTACATCGTACTTTTTCTTGAATTTTTAAAGCTCAGAGTTTGGAGAAATTCTGATGTTGTGTTTAAGTACAGTACTTACATTAGTTTCTCTTAGCACTTCCTTAATTTCCTCGAAGAGTTTTTCTTGAATATCTTGATTCAGAGCTAAATTATACGTTGTGTATCCAAGCAGCAATGTTGTGGTCTGATATCCAGCAATAAAGAATAGGACACACTGAGCTACAAGCTCATCCATCGTCAGGCCTAAAAGAATTTTTTTTTGTGTAAACATTTATTTGGAACATGAAATAATATTTTAGAATTATTCAGAAATTCGACTACTTCGAGGTTATTATTCCATAATGGACAATCTTTAAATAATAAAAACAAAATAGCTGTCTACTAAAGCTTGTTTGAATAGTAATATCGTAAATGAAGCACTCCTTTTCCTTAAAACTATCGGTGTTGACCATCAATTTCCTTCTAATGTTGACTTCATTTCCAGAGAGTTGATTACTCAATGCAACAAACTCTCCAATTCGTAAAATCTGATTATTTTACCTTATTACCCGAAAAACAATCCCCCATTTTCTAAGATTTAAAATTAAATTTAAAATTGTTTTTCTCCTCTGTAAAGAAACTAAACCTGACCCACCTTAAAGAATCTATGGCTGGGATTGTTATCAACTTTTCTGTCATTCTGGTTTTGCGTTATTAGACAAACGAAACGAAGAATTAACTGTCGACTTAAAGGACATGAAAGATATGTTCAAAATCATGGTATTAAACGATCTTTAATCACTCTAAATAGTTGGAATTTTAATCAAAGAGTTTTCTTCTGTTAAAATCCGTCAACAATGCTTTTCATTTACCAAATTTGATTTCTGGGAACCATCCCATATTTTGAAAAACGTAAATAATTTAGTTACTGATCTTGCTAGCGTCCCATATTTTTCCTGTGTTTGTAAGCCTGTTCTAATTAAATTTTTTCAGCAAAAACACTCACACCTCTTTCTCTCTTCTTTTATTTCCTCGTTAAGGTTTATTCCTCTTCTCTTATTGGTTGAACCACTTCGCACGTGTTTGTCTGATTACTTTTCTACTCTCATTTTGTAGTTGGACACTGAGAAAGGTTCCTGTTTATAGATTCAAAATTATAGTATGACCATTCATGAACCTTAATTTGTGCTTTATTTATGTTGTTTTTGCTTTATTCATACTTAGCACAAAGTATATTCTGTAATCATTAAACAGTCTAACTTACAGATCCAAATGAGGCCAGGGTATAGTTAGTTTGTTCATTAAAAAGAACATAATATTGTCTAGACTGATGAAGAAAATATCACATTAATTAATAAGTAAAATCAAATTCAGTACCAATTCAGCTAAATGTTACATTAATAAATTTAGAATAACAATTTACAAACACATATTTTTACAATAAAGATTTTTTTTAAAAATACTATTTCTCTGAAACTATTCAATATCTTTCTTTTTTTAAACTATTTTTAGATTTTAATACTAAACATTTATCCATTTCATTTAGGCAAGCCAAGCTTGTAAAGCATTGGCTTTGCAAATTAAACCTTTTATTTGAAAAGAGAGCACCGCAAAGGCAAAAGTACAACACTATGTTGTTGTTTCTAATGCCACTTGCTAATATAAGCAAGCTTGCTTGGTGAAACCAAGCAAATTTAAAGGAAGATGGTGCGTTTCTTGTTTTTCAGTGGCGCCATCTATGACCAAGAATACGACTTCAGCCATACACACCTCACGAAGCGTTAATAGGGCGGATCTATTCATATTTCCATTCATTCATCCACAGATCGTAATTATGACCTGAACCAGAGAGCGATCTATTTGCATTTCAGTATCCCCGGAGGTATACATTTTTTTATGGGAACATGGAGCACTTTGTGGCCCGACAGAATTAACGTGCACCAGTCATTATTTACTATACATAGTGGTCTTCGGCCGGCCAGGATAGAACCCACCACCTCTTGGACATGAGCCCGACGCCCTACCAACCAGGCTACCCTGGCACTTCTAGCTCAATAATTTCTCCTATAGGAAGCCTACAATTTGATTATGTAAGCTCCTACATAAAACGTGTTAATACATAAACTCTTAGAGCACTCTATAATTTCTCCTATAAGGAACATGTATAAAAAGCTTCTAGACTTCAGTAAATGGTTCGTGCAACGAGCATAAATAAGTTCCTTAGTTTATACACAAGAAAGAATATATTTTGTGGTTTAATAGCTCCAATGGTCGTGCTTTAATTTATTTGATGTTAAAAATTAAATAATAAAAGTTGATATAAGAAGAAAAAAGAACTCACTTTTATTTGATACATTTTTGAAAAATGCGCGATCAGTAGATTCTGAACCATAATTTTGAGTCATATCTTCTGAACTGTTTTCTTTTAAATCTTCTTTTGGAATCTCATTTGCACACTCCAGCAATAATTGCAGAAAATCATTTCTTGCCTGGTAGATAAAAAAATATAGATAAAATCGTCAGATTAAGAAAAATTATCTTTATATAGTAAGAAATATTTTATATATTTTATGTAGTGAAAAATACAATTATATAATAATAAAATTGTATAATATAATTATAAAATTATATTATATAATTATATAACAGACGCCCGGTGGCTTAGGTAGCGCTTCGCGCTCCCGTGCCACAGGTCCTGAATTCGATCCTCCGGCGGCAAGGTTGCCTCAGCCTTTCATCCCTTCAGTGGGTCGATAAATGAGTACCAAGCATGCTTGGGAACTAAACACTGGGGGTTCCGCTTTCGGCTGACCACCTAACCGGAAAGTCTGCTCCTGCACCCCAGAGCCCAAGGTCAAAAAAACTGAGATGGGCATCGTAGGCCTAGGCCCTCTGTGGGCTGTCGAGGCACTGAGTTTAGTTTAGTTTAATTATGTAACAAGAAATATACCCAATTCACAATTCTTGATGTTTCAGCAAAAAGTTTTGATGGTTTATATTTGTTTCAGTGCGATTCATGATGGCCTAACATCCTTTGATGATCACCATCATCCAACGTTTACCATTATGCATTAGTGGTATTTGATATGCCAAGGAAACTTCCATCATTCAATGATGGAAAATGCTACTTTAATACTATGATGGTTAACCATCAAGAGAAGATTGATTCTCATACACCAATAAAATCCCTGATGGTTCCTACTTTTCGTTTTCATGATGGTTTAATGGGAATTTTTGTTGATTCGTAGGAATATACCATCAAAACAGTAAGTTTTTTTATATGTTGATCCCTCATAAATTAGTCCGAATTCCTACATAGGGGAGATGGTGGTTCATGATCGTTCCAACATTTGATTTCTAAGAAGCTATGATGGAAATCCAAGATGGTTCATAATAGTACAACGATGCATTTCCATGATGGTAATAATTCTTGTCGGTTCTGCAGGAATATACCATCAAAACAAGTTGCTATTCTTGTGCTGGATCATCAAAAATCAGTCCGAATTCCTACATTAGGATCATGGTTACTTAGGATAGGGACCATCCAAAATATAATGGTCAATGATGGATTTATTGATGGTTTCCATCAAGATTATGTAGGTCCATCAATGGAAAACCATCAAACATTTTGACTTTGGTATAATATTAAAAGTAAGGCTGCGGTGATTTGGTTCTATAAATTAAGAGTTTTTCAAAATTCCTTATTTTTTATCACGTTTTAGTGACAACTTGCAATAAAAATCTTGATGTTTATTACGGTATTCCCGTGACAGTCCTTAAAGAGATCGGATAAGTGAAACTTGCCTTGTTTTATTGTACTGTTATTTATTTATTTATTTATTTATTATAATTTTTCTTTTGCAATTTCATTTTAAAAATTGATATCACCCGTTTGATTGGTAAATAGTATGATCTTTCAACGTTAATTGTTTTCTATGATATGCTGAAATCTTATAAACTTGGTAAGTGTGTATGGCTATTTTTTTAATGATGTACCCATCATAATACGCTGTTTATTAGCAAATAAACAATAATTTGCGTCTCGATGACGAACATAGTCTAATCCTATTGTCGAAGGAAAATTGTCGTAAGATTTGATTTTATATCGTTGTATAAAGATGAAAGATGAAAAGATTATTGTATAACTATAAAGAAAAAATTACCTGTCCTGTCTGCTTCCTTTGCTTGATTATTTCGAGAATTGTGTTGTTGAAAAATTGCAATGAGTCTTGTGGAAAGAGTTCAACGCCTAGTTTCCTCATGAGGGAGGGAACAGCAACTGAAACATTAAAGTAATATTTACTTCCAGATGGTATTCGTATCAATATATTATCATCGTTGGTCTGAATCAGAGTCAAATCAGATCAATAGATTTCTTTTAAATAAATAGATTCTAATTTTTAATTAGAATCCGAATCAGTATGGATCAATAGATATCGTTCGTATCGATATATTATCATCGTTGGTCAGAATCAGAGTCAAATCAGATCAATAGATTTCATTTAAATAAATAGATTATAATTTTTAATTGGAATCCGAATCAGTGTGGATGAATAGACATCGTTCGTATCAATATATTATCATCGTTGGTCTGAATCAGAGTCAAATCAGATCAATAGATTTCTTTTAAATAAATAGATTCTAATTTTTAATTAGAATCCGAATCAGTATGGATCAATAGATATCGTTCGTATCGATATATTATCATCGTTGGTCAGAATCAGAGTCAAATCAGATCAATAGATTTCATTTAAATAAATAGATTATAATTTTTAATTGGAATCCGAATCAGTGTGGATGAATAGACATCGTTCGTATCAATATATTATCATCGTTGGTCTGAATCAGAGTCAAATCAGATCAATAGATTTCTTTTAAATAAATAGATTCTAATTTTTAATTAGAATCCGAATCAGTATGGATCAATAGATATCGTTCGTATCGATATATTATCATCGTTGGTCAGAATCAGAGTCAAATCAGATCAATAGATTTCATTTAAATAAATAGATTATAATTTTTAATTGGAATCCGAATCAGTGTGGATGAATAGACATCGTTCGTATCAATATATTATCATCGTTGGTCTGAATCAGAGTCAAATCAGATCAGTAGATTTCTTTTAAATAAATAGATTATAATTTTTAATTAGAATCTGAATCAGTATGGATCAATAGATATCGTTCGTATCAATATGTTATCATCATTGGTCAGAATCAGAGTCAAAGCAGATCAATAGATTTCATTTAAATAAATAGATTATAATTTTTAATTGGAATCCGAATCAGTATGGATCTATAGATTTCATTCGAAACTACAGATTAAAATCGTAGTCGAGAATCAGTAAGTCTAATAAAATTATTTCANTCAGTATGGATCAATAGATATCGTTCGTATCGATATATTATCATCGTTGGTCAGAATCAGAGTCAAATCAGATCAATAGATTTCATTTAAATAAATAGATTATAATTTTTTATTGGAATCCGAATCAGTATGGATCAATAGATTTCATTCGAAACTACAGATTAAAAGCGTTGTCGAGAATCAGTAAATCTAATAAAACTATTTCATTCGAATCGATATGTTATAATCCTTGATTAGAATAAGTGGACTGGAATCACTGGTTTAAAACTGAATTGTATTGAATAGTTTTCTTTAAAAGAGAGAATGGACTTACAAAAAAGTATTGACCTGAACCCAGGATCCTGATCGAATATTCTTTTCACATGTCTAACAAATGGATTGTTGGGATCGTTGCGGGAATCAATCTTTGTAGAAAAGGCAGAACTTGCAATTACATCCACTGTAAACGAGCTATACATTCTGCAAAAGATTTAACACAATATTTTTATTTTAAAATTGCACCATGAAATTTCATTTTTAACATTTCAAGCATATCAATAATAAATTACACCCTGGCGTGAAATGCCCACTCACCAGATCGCCATTTGCGTCCGAATATTTAGTGCTACCCAGTAAGTAAGAGTTGAGTTTGACTCTTTCCAATTTGTAATTTTTTGAAATGAATGATGTTTTTCAATCAAGTAGTATTGAGTCGTGGTGGCTCAGGGGATAGAGCGTTCACCTTCCAATGAGGTGGCCCGGGTTCGATTCCCAGCGATGACGAACCACGCCCAGCTCGCACAGACCACAGTGCTGACGTAAAATATCCTCCGTAGTAGACGGAACATGAGTCAGTCCCCATGCCATCGGACTAACCGTGGGAGGTTTCCGTGGTTTCCCTCCTCATTAACACAAATGCGGGTTGGTTCTATTAAAAAGTCCTCCATAAAAACAAAATTTCTCTCAATACTTAATCTTGTGATTAAGTTAAGATTGACATTAAGGGTTAAGAACTTAAATTTATTAAAAAAGGTATGTTTGTTTGGAAAAAATAAGCTTTTGTGCCTGATTTCCTAACTTAACTATTTATTATCTATACTAATTAATTTAAAGTAAAGCCCTGGAGCTATTAAGATTGAGTCCTATGACTTTATCTTATTTTGTTCTATCTTAATTTTTCTTCCTTAAATCCTTTAAAGAAATATTGTTGATTTTAACACCTGTTGTGCAAAGTATTCAAGGAATTTTACAAGTTGCGAGAACAAAAATTCGGCAATAAATACATTTTGTTATAAATATTTGGATTTTAGTAAAAAAGAAATATTTTCATATGAGTGACTAATTTAACCAATTAATAAAACGGGAAGAAAAGGGACCGGAAATTGTGTTTTTGAAATATTGAAACTTACTTGTAGACATCACAAGGTTTTTTTGAGTCTGCAAACTTCCCAAAACTTTGAGTCAGTGTTTTGGCACAATCCTCAAAGATACCCAGAACCTGAAAAAACAGCCTCCTTAAAAGTTTGCTTTTATGAGAATATATTGGTTTGTAAGAGAAGATATTGGTTTGTATGCAGAAATAAAAGTTTGCATGAAGATTTACTGGTTTTAAGAGCTGTTTCATCTTCAGAAATGTTACAAAAGTGTGAAAGTTATTCTATCATTTCATCTAAAACTATACAAACGCTATTTGAAAAAGACGGAAAGCCATGATTATTAACAGTTTTCATCAGAGTAAAACTTAAAAAAACTTTTGCGAATAAAAAATCAGTTCTTCGGTTGAATTAAATTTTATACAAGCTGTGATCTAGATTCTCTAAATTTGAAAAAAATCCGGTTTATTATGATTATTGTTTTAAAAGTTTCAGAATTATTTCAAACATTTCTTTTGTTAATGAAATAGCTTTAAAAAATAAGCTAGGTTTGCTTAAAAAAAATCAACTAAAAAAAGGTAATTTCTTTTTAAATAGAATCATGACAAATCAGAAATTAAAATCATTTAATAATATTTAAATGGACACCGATTTTCAGTATTAAAGAGAAACATTTATGGGGGAAAATCAACTTATATGTATCACAAAATTATAAGCTGATTTTTAAGCAATTTTTTTATATACTGGAAAAAACTCTTACAATACGTGTTTTTTTTTTAAATTTTTCTTTTAGGATTTATGCATTTTTATTATCCAGCAAATTGTTATCGGTGATTGTATAAAAAAAATTGCTTTTATAAAATTAAAACCAACCCTATTTTATGCTGTATGATGCTGGATTAGCAAGAAATAAGTTTCTTATTTTAGAGGACTCTAAAGTTGTTTCCTATTTGTCTACATGGGATAAACATTTCTGCTTAATATAAACAAAATAATGATCTTGAAACAAAATTTAAAAAATATATATATAAAGAGAAANTGTATCACAAAATTATAAGCTGATTTTTAAGCAATTTTTTTATATACTGGAAAAAACTCTTACAATACGTGTTTTTTTTTTAAATTTTTCTTTTAGGATTTATGCATTTTTATTATCCAGCAAATTGTTATTGGTGATTGTATAAAAAAATTGCTTTTATAAAATTAAAACCAACCCTATTTTATGCTGTATGATGCAAGATCAGCAGGAAATAAGTTTCTTATTTCAGAGGACTCTAAAGTTGTTTCCCATTTGTCTACAAGGGATAAAAATTTCTGCTTAATCTAAACAAAATAATGATCTTGAAACAAAATTTTAAAAAAATATATAAAGAGAAATAAAGTTAATACGAAAATCCGCTTTGGTATAAATGGTATAATTAACATTTATTGAAAACGTGAAACATCATTGACCATTTACGTTACAGAGCATGCTTATTATTAAATATTTTGCGGGCAAAAATGCTGCTGATTCTGAAAAATATTAGCTTTTGCACTGCGGATAATGCCTTTGTAGCATAATGAAGTGCTACATATAAATCTGTTCAAACAAAACCAAAAGAATTTGCTTGCATTCTCTTACGGGAAAATTTATTATTCTGCGATTGTTGAACAAGGAGACTTTTTTAATAATTATTTTGGAGGCTCTATGACGCTCTTCTCTGCAACGCCCATGATTATTTCGCTTTCATGGTTGTTTCTTCCTAAAATGCTTTGCTGGAGGATATGACAAACTTTATTAAGTAAAATCCCATAATATTTATTTTGGGCCGGGATAGCCTGGTTGGTAGGGAGCTGGGCCCATGTCCGAGAGTTCGTGGGTTCGAACTCCGCCGGCCGAAGATTCCCCGTGTAGTAAAATGGTGACTGGTGCACGTTAAATCTTTCGAGTCGCAAAGTCCTCCATGTTCTAATAATAAATCAAAACCTCTGGGGGTACTGAATTGGAGATTGATCGTTCTCTGATTCAGTTCAAAATTACGATCTGTGGATGAATGAATGGATGTATGAATAGGTCCGACCTATAAACGGGCGTGACGTAACGGGTGTGTCAGAAGTCGGATAGTTGGTCATAGATAGCGCCACTGGAAAACAAGAACAATCGTACCCCTCTGCCTTAACAGGCATACGAAAGCAAGCAATATTTACTTATCGAGCTTTTATTCTCGATAATATTGTCTTGCAAACAAATACCTCGCTTATTTTTCGTTTGGCAATGCAATTTGTAATTTCTTTTCAAATCATTTATTAATAAGTTGAAAATAACAATTTCAATACATTTTGGCGAGTTTTAGACAACGCATTCATTTTTTTTTGTCAAACTTAAACGTAAAAAATCGAGCTTCCATGTAATTTTAAAATCTCGAGAGAAGAATGAATTTTTCTTCTTTTCTGTGTAACAATACGGTTATTACTTAAAAGAGAAAAAAAAAACTTTTGAAACTTTAATAATTTTTAAAACGCGTTCAACAAAATTTCTAACTTTTTTTATGCATTTTTAACACGATTTATGTTCAATTCACGCATAAAAATGGTCTTAGAGAATGTCAAATTTTAACTCTGTGCGCTGGAAAGAGACCCACGTGATTTTTTTGACTGTGAGTTTTTTTAATTAATACTTATCAAACTATTTATCAAATATTTTTTTTTTGATTCATCGTGCTTTCCGTATATTTTTTTTTGTATACCTTCAAGTTCATAGGTCTAATAGTTTTATTGTAGCAAAAAGAAATTTAAAGTTAAACACCTAAAACAGAAGCGCGTACTCGCCTGAAACGATTAAAAAACAGCAACTCACATATTCGTTACTTACACTGCATATTTTGTTTATTTATCTACTTACAGATTTTCATTTGTTAAAAACGTAATATTCTAACTAGGTAATAATATTTTTGTTGTCAAAAATGAATTTTGTTGCTAAATTTCCGAAAACAAAATTAATGTCCGTTTTTATTCTTACTTCCCGATAATAATTTTAAAATAATCTAAAATCAACCTGTTAAGTAGAAAAGAAAACTTTTTTTTATTTGTATTTATTTTGTTTTTCGCACATTTTTAATGATTTTTTTTATCTTTAGGTTAACTACTTAACGATTCAAACATTTTGCACCCAAATTTATAGAAATACAAATAATTGTTTGAGATATTATTTTGTAGAGTATTTGTTTGTGAACACAAATGTGGAATTCACCAACAAATGAAATTTTTTAGTCAAATGCATATACAATATTTTTGGCTCAAATATGTGCATTTATTTTTTTCATTGCATGGATGTTTCTCAACTAGAACGATGCGATTTTAAAACTATTATAGGAGACCAACACTTTTCAACTAAGAAATGTTCCTAAAAAATAAAAAATTACAATACGTGTCTATATGAGCAAAAATTATAAACATTTTTATTTATTAAACTCTCACAATTGAATTCGTAGGGGCCGAGATAGCCTGGTAAGGCACTGGGCCCATGACCAAGGGGTCGTGGGTTCGATCCCTGCCTGTCGAAGACTCCCCGTGTAGTAAATGGTGACTGATGCACGTTAAATCTGTGTACTCTCTAAGTCCCCTATGTTCCCATAACAAATGAATACCTCTGGGGCTGCTGAATAGGAGATTGATCGTTCTCTGATTCATTACAAAACTACGATCTGTAGATGTACGATCTGTAGATCTGTGGATGTATGAATGGGTCCGCCCTATAAACGGGTGTGACGTATGGGTGTGTCAGAAGTCTAATTATTGACCGTAGATCTCATCCCCTCTGCCTAAATGGCATATGTCAACAACAATTGAATTCAAATGCACATGTTAATGTCTGTTTTTCTCCTTACTTCGTGATGATTAAATCGTGATGAGTTCAATTCGTGATGAGTTCAATTCGTTATTTAAGTGGGATAAAACCAACTCAAAATTTTTTCTTTGTGATTACATAGCTCTATGGACATCAAAAAGTAGTTATGATCATCAAAAAAATTGTAATAACTTTTTTTTTAAACTTTTAGCCATCTTTTTTTACAATGCAGGCCACTCTTGATATTTTTTAGTACCGAGAGATGCAATATTTATGGAGCACAATAAATGTGTTTCTGACTATTACAGCGCCACCTATTCGTGGATTTTCGTTTCTAAAATTATTTATTAAAAAAAATTATGCGCATCAATTTAATTATTTCTAATTCTTTCATCCTCATTTGAACTAATAAATGAGCATTTTAGAGCCCTCTCAGAAGCGGGACTTTTTTTTATTACACCTGTATTATACGAAAGAAAAATTAAACTAATTTCTTACTTTTCTCAGAGCATTAGAGCCAAAAAATAATTTATAAAATAATTAACCTTGAAAACATTTATTAAATGATTTTTGCAAAAATTTAAAAAAAAATTTATTTTGGATTGAGCTGTTTTTGATGTCAAACGACATTAATCTATACAATCGTTTCTTCAATGAAACAATTTAACATTTTTGTTGAACTTACCCTTTTGAGTTTGCCAGTGGAAAATGTTGGAGAAAGAATCATTCGAATTCGTTTCCAATCGTCCCCTCCTATAACTATCAACATTTTGGCGATCATATCTTCTCCTGTTTCGAATTCCTGAAAAAATATTGATTAAATACAACGCACATCGGCATATTTTAAAATTAAAAACACTAGAAAAGATTTTTGTTGTTAATTTATATTTTGAATAAGAGTTACGAATCCGTATATGTTTTCTACTCCGAATTCACTCACTGTTTTAAATAAATAAAAGACACATTCACACTTTGTCATATTTAGTATCGAATGACGAACTGCTTGTTTGTCAGTAGTGGTCTTAGTAGATCTGATATGGATGATCGTCTTGTACTAAAAATTATGGACTATATATTGGCAGCCGTGTGTTCTAGATTGTGCTCGCCTTCAAAAACTATACCATTTTTGCAGTAAATGTCAGTGTTAAGATCACCTTCTGGCACCAAAAAATATTACAATTGCCCACTGTTATCTCCAGAAGCATTCATCATAATACGAATTTACATTCACTTCAAATGCTCTCACGCGTACACTTGCTAATAATTTATACGCAATCTGCACGATTACAGATCCAAATTAGAATCTATATTTTACTTATCTTGGTAGAGAAGTACGTTTTTTTTATTTATTTCGCTTGCATGAAATTTCAGGATTAGATCATTGTTTTTCGAGTTTATGTCCTTAAACAATTATCAAACGAAGACGCTGGATAATCACAAGCAAAGATAAATATACACTGGTGGACAAAATTAAGAGATGGAAAGCATTTTCGCACATTTCTATGACGCTATATTTTTCTATGACGCACATTTCTATGACGCTATTTCTGGACGGTTATTGATATGAAAGGAACCTGGATCCCGATACCATCCCAGCAACATTATCGAAAGGGACCATTATGCTGGTGGAGGACTCATGGTTTGGGCAGGTATCATGCAAGATACCCGCACGCCGCTCCATGTGTTTGACAATGGTTCCGTGAATGCCCAAAGGTACAGGCAGGAGGTCCTAGAGCCCTATGTGCGTATTTTCAAGGGCGCTGTTGACCCTGAGTTCATTCTTATGGACGACAATGTGCGACCACATAGGGCTCTCATGGTTGATGAGTATCTGGAAAGCGAGGATGTTCAACGAATGGATTGGCCAGCCAAATCCCCTGACTTGAATCCTATTGAATATGAAAATGCTTGGGATGCTCTTGGGAGAGCTATTGCAATGCTCCAACCTTCCCCCAGAACCATTTGGAGTTAAAAATTGNGTAACGATAGATATATTTGGAGTGCTAACATATTCCGGATTTTGTTTATAAGAAAATTAAACGTTTACGAAATTTCTGTGAAATGCAATGATTACATACTGAATGGTCTATGAATGAAGTAAAATCTTTCACGTAAAGATCTTTCACAAGTTCTGGATCAGATACCATTAAGGCTGGTGTATTTGCATCGTAATATCTGAAATTAATGTAAATAAACATATAATTTAGATAAATATGTCGTGTATATTATGTAATATGTTATTGAATTATAATAATAGAAGTTTAATGAGCTATTTTAAGATTATAAACAATATTAAAAATGTATTTTTATTACATCAAATGATTTTTAGATTATCATTTTTACCAAAATAATTGGTGAATAATTTGGCATAGGATTTTTTTTCCCGCAAAAATGATTATTTATATGAAATGTTCAGAGCATAAGTAATGTTAGTAAGATTTAAACATGATTATCTTAAAAATTATTTGTTGACTTGATTTATTATAGCCTTAAACGCCTCATTAGAAGAATGTTGTGAATTCCTTGTAACGAATAAAAAACCCTGCAACTCACTCGAGGCCAGGCGGGCTTCATCAATCCCCCCGAGACAGGTTCATCATTCGAAAATATCATAAGGCTCAAGTGAGCTTGTACTCAGAGAAAGTTTTCATCATTAGATATTCAAACCATTAAAAATGCATCTTATTAAGTGAAGATCCAACTATTAAACCAACGGTTATTAAATTGTTTCATTTTTTGTGCACTATATTTTGTATTTAAAACTGTAGCATTTCAACTTTTATTGGAAAAATGCCAGTTTTTATTGTATTTTATATTAATTACAACAAAAATAATTGCCACGCTTAACATTTTATTTAACATTTAATTAGGAGGAAATAGCTGGTCTGTTCCCTTAAGCTAGCACATTTCTGAATATGAACACCTCTTACAACTTCTCTCTCACATTTTCCTCAATTAATTCTACACCATACTTATAGATATAGACACCATACTTATAGACTTATAGATATATTCCTTCAAATGTTTTCGTCCTATTTATGCATCTTAATATGATATTTTTTTTAAAAAAATAATTGAATCTTGATAACTGTCTTGTGGAGACGAGCCCAGTCGGAGTTATTTAAGTTGTGTAGATACCTGTTTCTTTTGATGATGAGTAAAAAAGTAAAATTTTTTATATGATCTCCTATTGAATCATTGTACTTTTTTAAAATTTATTAAGTTGTAATCTCTCTCTACCTCTCTCTACCGCTCTCCCTCTCTCTTCCTCTCTCCCTCTCTCTTTCTCACGGAGCCTAGTCACAGTCCACATAGATGACCAGACTTTTAAAATTATTTATTGATGAGTAAAGGAATTAAAACATTTTATTTTACTGAGTCGTAGTTTCTCTCTCTCTCTATATATATATATAACTCATTGAGTCTAGTCGTAGTTCACAAAGTTGTATGGATATTGTCAAAATTGTTTCATTTCATGAATATAAAAAATTACAGTTTAATACGAAAAAAAATTCGCATAATGAGACGTAATTTCTTTCTCTCATTGAGACAAGTTGTAATTCATTTAGTTGAGTGAATATTTTTAAATCTATTTATTGAAAAATACAAAAAAAAAATAATTTAATATAATTTAAAACTTTCTCTTTTATTGAGTCGTAGTTTCTTATTCATAAAGCCTAGTCTTAGTTTACTTAGTTGTGTATATATTTTCAAAACTGTTTATTGAAAAATATAAAAATTTAAAATTTAATATAATTAGAATATTCTACTTTGTTGAGTCGTAGTTTCTAATTCATTGTGCCCAGTCGTAGTTTACTTAGTTGTGTATATATTTTCAAAACTATTTATTGATAAGTAAAAATATTTAATATAATTAGAATATTCTCCTTTGTTGAGTCGTAGTTTCTAATTCATTGTGCCCAGTCGTAGTTTACTTAGTTGTGTATATATTTTCAAAACTATTTATTGATAAGTAAAAAAAAAATTAATAGAATTAGAATATTTTCCTGCATCAAGCCTATTCGTAGTTCACTTAGTTGTGTGCAGGTTTTCTTAATTGTTTTATGTAATGATGATCTTTTACTCAATACATACCCATAAATTCTGCCATACTTTTTGTACCGCTCAACATCTAATTCTTCCAGGCACTAAAAATAAATTTTTTCTATTAGATTTTGGCTAATATTAAAAATCATGCTTGTCAGATCTTTTATTTATCCGTAAAATGAATAAAAACTGGTTCCAGAAATATTTCATTTTCACCTTTTTTTAGGAAGNCAGAGTGTGTTTTTATGCTGCAGCAATGGTTTGCCTGGAGCCCTGACACCTCAACATTGTATTTGCTGCCAGTATTTTTACAAAGTTATTATAAGGTTTATGACATATTGTCTGAAATATATATTTAAAAGTACAGCACTCCCTCAAAAACTATGGGGACACTTTCGATAAAGGTGCCGCAATTTTGAGACTAACATCATGCGCATCGACCGCCTTTACTCCACAGCTGGTATGCGTCGATCTGCCACTGGGATGAAATTCGAATCGTCAACGTAGATAAAATATACACAAAACATTTCCTGCATGTATAATTATATTTTAATTTAAAAAAACTCTTAAACCGAGTGTTTTTCCAGAAAAACAGAGGTAAAATTGAAATGTCTTTGCTGCCATTTTTTTTCCTGCAGATAAATAGTAGTTCTCAGAGAGCCTTTTTGACAATGGTAAAAAAAAATTTTTAAGGTAGAAAAGTGATAAAAAAAAGTTATGATTAAGTCCATTGGATAATTTCTTTTATTAGCCGCAATTTCAGTCATTTCTGAAAAATATAGAAGTCCTAGTTGTCCTAATGAATAAACCCCAGCAGCGAAACAACTTTGGCTTTCATTGGACCAATTGACACGAATCTCAGCTCAATAAGAGTTCAAAGGACCAGTATTTGACCTTCATAGAATTGTTTGATTCACCCGATATTTTTTATTTATTACTCACCCATTATAGGCCATATATTGGCCCTGTATAGGCCGATAGTGGCCCGACATAGGTCATTTATTGGACCAACATAAAAAATATAGACATCCCAATATTTGGTCTCTCGGTGCATGTTCATATATAACCTATATTGAGCCAATTTGAAGCCCAGATGGGACCAAGGTAAAATTGTTGCTAGGGAAGAACTATCATCATCATCATCGTCATAGTTGGCCAGACAGCCCAATGTGGGCCCATGCCTTCCTCTGAAAATTTCTCCATAACGACTTCCGATTTAGGGATGAACTATATTTTTGTAAAATATAGTTCATCCCTAATCGGAACCTAATATATGTAATTAAGTAGGAACAAAGCTGTTTTATAATTTACCTATTGCTGAATGAATTGATGCATGCGTACTTCTGCTATCGAAAAGGAAAAGCGAAAATTATTTCCTTATTACAGTTTTAATCCTTTACGCGTGTATAGGAATCACACGGAACTTTTTGCACACACAAAATAAGAAGAAAAAAAACTAGTGTTTGGCTTGCTCGAAATAGAATGGAAAGAACAGTTATTAACGTTAACAAATGTCACGTTGCAACAACCAATCAGGATCGAGATACCCAAACTACGTCACTTGCAGGTATCCCATTCTGATAACATTTTGCTGGATCGCAATATTGATGTAAGAGTGTTTTTAGGATTAAAGCGGTATTGAAAAAGGAAAGAACTTCTTCCACTCATTTTAGATCTATGCAAATATCATAAAGGGTGTAAATGACATTGATCTTTCAAATGGGTGCTGGCAGTTTTGCTAAGTAAAACCTTGCAAAACATTTGCTACCAAAAGAAAAAATGTTTTCATCGAGTTAGTAAAGAAGTCTTCGCATTATTTTGTCTGTAGGTTGTCTATAAATTCCTCAATGCATTGATTAAATAAATGTTATTTAAATGCCATACTTACAGTTCGGAGAATAGGCAGTAAATTTCCAACAAATGGTAAAGGTTTTATGTAAGGTACATTTTTCTCTTTCCATAAGTTATGATTCCGTACGGAAAACCTAAAGAAAGAAACTAAGAGTTTATCTTCAACACCAGACATTTTTTTTCAAAACAAAAAGTGACATAGTGTGTTTCCTTCAAAACAAAACAATCAAATTTTTTTTCAAAACGAAAAAATGTAGCTGTTTTGTTTTTGAACTCATGAATTTTTAAACTTTTTCTTTTCTTTGCTAACTGGCAACGGGATGCTTGATGATCTGATTTCGTGCATCATATTTTAAAGTGAAAAACTAAATCGAAGTTTAAATTCTTTTGAATTTCTTAAATAATTACAAACGATAAAATTTAATTATCTAATGTTAGTAATGTATTAAATATCCCCCGTTCTGTAAAATTTATTGCAATTACAATTGATAGACTTAATTCAATTTACAGAGAAGGTAGGTGGAAATTAGAAGGTTATATCCGGAACGGCGGTTATATTTTTATAACCGTAAAAATCAAGTGACAACAAACAACACATTAGTTGATAGAATCAACCAAGAATCACTTCAAAAACAAAGTATCAAATGGTGCAAACATTATTACAATTTTTAAAAAAACTAACATCTTATTTATTTAATTTTTAATATTCAAAGATTTTTTTAATATCATATTTATTAAAAGTCAATAAATACAAATAATCAACACATTAGTTGACAGAATGAAAAAGCAAACTTTTGAATTTTAACGATACAGAAAGTGTGAATGCGCACATTTCCTACGTGAATTGCTGAACCCCCCCCCCCC